GTGCACCATGTAATGTTGCTAAGTATATACTTTTAAATTTTACGAGAAAGTGCACTTAACAACACCACAATGTGCATTCTACATAGTACATTTTAAAGTTAAAAAAAATATTATAAAAATGTCAATGTATTTTCTTCTATCATTGTTTTAAATTCATTATATTTTATAGACAAATAACTGAGATTAATTCCTAATTTTTCTCTCAGAATAAGTTCTTATATAAGCGTCTCCCTATAAACACACACATATATATATGGATGATATCTAATCCTAAATGTCAACACCTTGCTGTCAAATTCAGCTTGCATGCATCTATAATGTTGTTGATTATCTAATTAATCATAAATGTCAATTAATGCCTGGCTGTCATATATAACTTGTTTGTATCATTTATTAATCAAGGTTGATTATTAATTAGATTTCTTAATTAATATGCTTGTTGCATATTAATATGAGCACTTATCTCAAATGCTAAGATGTTATTTAAGTGTCGTGAGGGTTGAGGTACAACTCCATTTGTTAACTAATCCAAAATAAGTTTATAAGTTTTGTTTTGTTAATAATTGCGCATGGGTGCAAGGTTTATCAAGGACCAAAATATAATTATCCAAAATGAAGTCATTAAGTGATAATAATAATAATAATAATAATAATAATAATAATAATAATAATAATAATAATAATTGTCTGCAAAGAATCTTTTCCATTAGAAGATGAAGGTGATATGATTAATAATGTGCCAAAAACAAACACTAAAACTGCAATCTCTACATAAAATTAACACCTTATCTATCTTATCTTAAATAAACCCTAATAAGTTCAAAAGCTTCCGAACTGCAGTTCCAATATAAAATTTCTGGATCATGACCACAAGTTTAGACAGATATAAAGCTGTTATTTTCATGTGCATTAATCTATAAATAAAAGCAGTTTAGACAGGCAAAATTGTACCTTTACTGTCCCTTACTCAGTCAACAGATGAAAACAGATCAACATATCACATCACAAATACCCTTATTTCTAGTTTCCTACCCTTGTGGAAGTTCAAATTAGTCCAAAATTTTCAAAAAATAAAAAATAAATAAAAATAACGACGTTTAGGCAGTCAATTTCACCATTAAAATAACAGCGCCAGAATTTGGCATTATGCATTTATATTTTGTTAAAAAATATTTTTTGTCGAGATGACGAGAAAACTCATAGTCACTATTTGAAGATATGAGTGGAGTAAACTGCACTAGGAAAACCAAAGACCATATGCAACGAGCTCAAATGAAAGGGTGTTAGTATATATTGAACTAGTGACCTTCTTCTAGTATGAAAATTATGTTTCACCACTCGGTCACCCCTTTCGGGACAAAATAATTTTCACCCATTACAATAATTGAGGTGTATAGTTTGAGTTTTCACACACAAAAAAAAAAAAAAAAAACTAGTTTGCACTCAGGTATTTTTTTTCAACTTGGATTAAAACTTGTTCCTATTCGTTTTTTTTTTTTTTTCAAATTCATTGCCGTGGTTGAAAAAATCATTTTTCATGTAATAAGCTATCAACTAATAGCTAATTTACCAAATATTTTTCTACAATCAATAAATATTATCAACTAGTCAAATCCACGAACCAATCAGTAAACAACTACGGAGTATTTACCAAACACCCCCTAATCTTATTACTTAAGAGAATCTAAATTTACTTAGACTAAATTAAACTCGTTAGCGGATCCCACCTAAAAATATATTCCTCAAAATAATACTTATTAGCCAGTTTTCTAACAAAATCTCCTCATTAAAAAAAAAAAAAAAAAAAAAAAAAAAAAAAAAAAAACCTTAGATGATCTCATTTTGCTAGACTAATCCTAAGCCCATAGTACCTTACCCCTAGAACCATTGCAGAGCCAACAGGAGTAAACTGCGAATCACACAATCAGCCACGAGTCAAATCCTAAATCTCCTCAAATTTGAATGTACTTGTTACTGCAAGTTCCCTCAATTTTCCTTTTTTTTTTTTTTTTTGTGCAAATTATTATTATTAAGACTTGACTCTTGAGTATATAGTAAAGACATTCCCAATTCAAACTCTATTCTCCCTTCTGTTGTTTTGTTATCTAAAGAGATAAGGAAAAATATCTATCAAAAGTAGGACAATCCAGGAAATTGAATTTGCATTCAAATTGCCGCAACTTTATGCAACATTGATCGTTGACAGCAACTAAAATATCTAATGCTTAAGATTTGGTTTTTCTAAGAAATGTGTTAAGAAAAGAGTCAGAAAGCAACCTTCATATATCTTAATTAAAGTATGCATTTCATTTCAATTAAAAGTTTAAACCAGTAGCCAAGTACCCTCACACATGTTTGATGGGCTCCATGTAACCCATAACCCTTGAATGAGTTGACACTAATACTAAATTGAAATATGTGTTTCGTCCAGTGTTGCAAATCGGCGCCTAGTCGCTAGGCGATCCCCAGGTGCCTAGCGATTTTTTCAACATTGGTTTCGTCTCAACTAAAAGTTTAAATTGATAGTCGAATTACATATTTATATATAGATATTCATGACCCTAGTTAAGTAGTCAGAGCATAATGAGGCAAACCATGCTAGGTTGCTTATAGTTAACCGACTCAAATCAAGAAAGCCACTGGAGTCAAACTTGAGAATTTATGATTACTAAAACAACTGTCCGATCAACTTGGTTAAGATTGCCACTATCCAACCACATTCTGTTCCTTAACAAATAAGACATGCAGAGTTTTATTGACAACAATTTCTTTTGTATGTTGAAGGTGATTGCCTTGAAAAGCATGGGCAATTTCCTATCTATTTAATGATATGACATAGAATATAAAAATGGATTTACATATTACATCCAAGAAAGCTCCAAGAAAGAAAGAGGGGAAGGCATGGAACTTCACCAGAATACAAAAATTCAATTGAATAGTGATTTGTCTACATTTCACTGGTTTAACCATCCCTTGAAATTCCTTTCAGTATATATATATCTATAGAGGCTCAAAAGATGTTACTCACACCAATGAAAAAGAACTATCAGTGACAGAATTTTTCCTGTTCTTTCAGAGTATAAGCTTTTCTTGAACCAAAATGATGCAACCACAGCTTCTTCATCCTTCCTGGCTATCCTATGAAACCAATTACTCAACTTCTCCTCGTACTGGATCCTTAAGTTTTTTTGAGGATGTTTTTGTAACAGACAACAGTTACCTTTCTCCAGTCATCACAGCAGACTCCTCGGGGCTAGATTCGACCTTATTCCATGATGATTTTCCTGAATTTGCAGATCTGCAAAGAGATATGCAAATCCCTCCACTCCTGGAGGGTGATGTTTCCATGGATGATATAGAGCCCAGCATGTATGAGGATGTTTGGAGGTGGTTAAACAATGAGGAGAGTGAAGAGGGAACTAACAATACCTCTTCAGAGGTGACAAAGGATGTTTTGAGCCCAGATTTCTCAGTTGTGTCTGCTGAGGATTCTTCCATGGCTGTTGTTTTACCAGGAAATGGGGTGGGAGTGGATGATAGCCATTGGTGCCTTCTTCTTCACTTGCTAGCAGCTTATGCAGAGGCCATGGGAAACACGCAGAGGGAGCTAGCAGAGGAGATCGCGAGATGCATAAGGCGTAAAGCAAATGCTTTAGGGGAAACACTTGAGCGGGTTGCATACAACGTTGTCCAGACCAAAGAGGATAGAGGAGGCAGTTATCTGAGATGCGAAGCAATCAAGAACTACGAGACAGCATTCAAAGTGTTGTACCAGGTTCTGCCATATGGGAGATTTGCACACTTTTCTGCTAACTCTGCCATCCTTGAAGCCATACCGGATGGTGCAGAAGCAGTTCATATAATAGACTTTGATATGGGAGATGGAGTCCAGTGGCCCCCTCTGATTGAATCCATGGCTCAGACAAGAAGGGCTCTGAGACTCACATCTGTGAGAAGGGAAGAGGAGTCCACCAGTCACCACTACTGGAGATTTGAGCAGACAAAGAGAAGGCTTTATGACCATGCAAAGCCGTTGGGTATAAAACTGCAAATTGAGGAAATGAGCTTAGAGGAATTAGTCAACGAAGCGAAAAGAACGAAGAAAACAGGGAAAAGGAAAGAATGGTTAGCCTTCAACTGCACGTTCAGGCTCCCGCACATGACAAACAGGCAACAAAGAAGTCAAGCCATGCAGTTTCTAGAGATAGCTAAGGAACTGTCGCCCTATTCTGCAATCCAATCTGGGATTGTGGTTTTTGCTGATGGAGAATCAGGGTGTTGGAGCAGTTCATTTTCAGGTTACACTTCTTTCTTTAACAGGCAGTTAGTACACTACAAATCCTTGTTTGAATCAATGGAATGGCACTTCCCGGTTAATCTCACCGAAGCAAGGATTGCAGTAGAGACTCTTTTCTTAGCGCCTCATGCCTGCTCTGATTCTTGGTTTCATGACTGGCAAGAAAACAAGATGAAGGCAATTCCCGATCTCCGGGCAGAAATGGGGTTGCAGGGCCGGAAGCTAAGCAGAGAAAACATTTTCCAGGCTAAAGAAATGGTGAATGAAAGAGAGAGTCCATACAGAGTCAGGATTGAAGAAGAGAAACAGCATGAGATGATCTTGGAATGGAGAGAAACACCATTGGTGAGAGTTTCAACCTGGATGTAAAAGACAAGAACCGCAAGAAAATAGGAAGAAAGTACATAAGAACACGCTCAAATTATTGTCTCCATTTATTTCTTCAAGGCGTTAAATTGTTATGCAAGTGTTAGTGTACATACACAATACATACATATCACTATATCAGAAGTCTAAAACATTTGATGGAATTTTTATTCATTTTTAAGAAACATTCTCAAAATGTTCATTTTGAGAGTTTCTGTACATGAAAACCACACCATGAAATCCAACTTTGAGCCATTCAATGGATGGGTCAAGATAAGTGGAAAAAAAAAATACAATATTTCTATTTGAAGGAAGAAATATCACAACCAAAGCAAAATATGAAAACAAACATAAAACTAAGCATTAATAAAAAAGCTAACTGTTGATCGTGCATGCACGGAATGTCTAAATGTATACTTAGACGAAAAAGACAGGAGTCTAAATTGCAATATCAAACATTACATCAATAATCTAAACAATTTCTACCCAATTCCTCCAACAAGTCGGAACGAACTGTCTACCTGAAGTATATAGAAATCTGAGGTATATCAACATCATTATCATCATCGTCCTCACAAGCCACCACAATGTCAAAATGACGACGATATGGAGGGAAATCTGCCTTGGCAACATCCCTGGCCAAATCCATCATCTTACGATCTATGCGGTCCTTGTGCCTAGGGAACATGCTATTGTAAAGTAAGCAGCTGCCGTAAGAGATGCTATAGGCATTTAGACCTTTATCTTGGAGCCACTTGATGAGCTCTTTCAGTGTCGGATTATCCCTCAAAATCCACCTGTCCCAGACAGTCCAGCTCATGTCTTGATGTTTGATCACTTTGGGTGGTACTGGCTCAGCGATTGAAAACAAGGGGAGTGCCAAATTTGCAAATGTGTTGCGGTAATCCTCCACCTTGTGTTGTCCATCCAGAGCCTTGTATAGCTCTAAGCAAACAAGACCTGTTGCCATAGCAGTTGAAGTAGCAATCGCGGGAATAATCCTCCCAGCAATGAATTTGGCTTTCAGTTTGTCAACCTCAGGGATGCTGTAATTTCTTGCTCTCATGTTGGCAAGTCCAGCAATCATGTCCATATGATAGTTGGTATCATCATCCTGCACATTCACACAAATTAGGGAAAACTGAGTAGAAAGACCATGATGTCAAGGAACAGAAAACAAACATTATCACACAATCTGTTTCTTTCCTTAAAAACAAGCAGATGATGCCAAATGTTGTAAAAAGCAAAACGGCAATTAATTGCACATGGTTCTAATTCTCCCCCCCCCCCCCCCCCCCCCCCCTTTTTTCCTTTTCCCTTGAGGGTATGGTGCATAAAGAGATGATGGCAGTACCTTCTCAAACTGAATAGGGTTCATCTTATAGCCTGCAGGCAATTTCTCTCTGCACAATTCCAGATTCCTGACCAACTCATTGATCACTGCAGCATCATCTATGGATGATGTTGAAATACTAGTTGCTTTCTCATCTGTCTCAATCTTGACATCCTTTTTCGGTTCGAAATCAGGGACTATCACTCTGTCAATGGCATCAGCCAACTTCTGTTCAGACTTGATCCAATCTGGGATAGGTATGCCAAATGTTTCAGCTCGCAATATGGATGCTGCCATAACAAAATTAAGGTGACTAGAGTCATTGGTGGAGAACTGAAGTGGTCTTGGAAAGCGCTTTGGTGCAGACCAAAATGGAGCACCACTGCTAGTCATGGCATCCTCTGGAAAAGTGAATGCCAATTGCTTCACACGGTTCACAAAGTAGTCTTCGAACCTGTTATTAAAAAATTCAAATTATGAGAAACTTAAGATAGGAAAACAAGCACACAAAAATGGAGGGGTAACCCCAGCCAAGATGGCAAGAGATCCACGCTTGTAAGCACAAGGTCACGAGTTCGAATCCTTGCCCCCTTGGTTTGAGCCGGTCAACTATGGGTAACCTAGGTTGATTTACTTCCTTGTGGTCCTTTGCCGGCTAGGGTCACAAGGCGGGGTTTACTCACACCCAAAAGGGTTGTGAGGTTTCCCTCGTCATCCAAAAAAAAACACACACACAAAAATGGAAAGTCGTGTTTAATTTACTTTAAACGAGCCCAGGCTATGCAGTCTTGGAATGTATCGCATCTATCCTTCTCAAGGCATTCAAGAACACGTTCTAAGGTATCTCTGGACTGTGCATCACCAGCATTTTTCATTCCAGATGTGTATTCGGTTGGACTAGTCAAATAAGCATTTACTTCAGTAGGGGTTTTCTCAAGTAAACCCTCAAATTCAGATCTTGCCCATGTCAAACAGTGATGAATGTTGTGCGGGAAGGAATGCACAGTGCACATTGGTGCTTGTTTTTCAGGAGGATCCCTTGAAGCACCATAATTCTCAGTTAGGTGAGGTATTACCATCTGAGTGTTACACTTGGCACCTAGAGTTCCCGACTCCAGTAATGGTTTCTGAAAATACAAGCACCTTTGGTCAATGTAAAGCCTGGCATTAACATTATCTAGAGCATTGATGACAACATTCAAATTTTCCCAGAATGTATCATCAAACACATTTTCAGTATCAGGGCTTGCACGGTTTTGCAGAGCTTCAATATGTAGAAGAGGATTAATCAATGAAGCGGCTGAGGCAGCAACTGTAGATTTAGCCTGTCCAATATTCCAATCACGGAAAAGGAATTGTCTGCTAAGGTTGCTCTTTTCAATGACATCATCATCGGTGATAGTTAGCTTTCCCTTCTCCCCACAAGAAACCCCCATCAGAGCTAAATTCTTCAAGAACTCGCACCCAAGAGCACCAGATCCCACAACAAAAACCTTCGCATCCTCCAGTTTCTTCTGTAATTTAGATCCAAACACAGAGATTTGAGCATCATAGCGACTATTCAACGGCTTTAAGTCGCTGGTATCCAGGGGCTCAGCTGGAAGAGACTCCAGAGAATCGAAATAGAAAAACTGCAGCCATAAAAAGTAACTGATTAGTCCACACTAATAAAACATACATGACCAAAGGACTTCAAATTAGGGATGGCAATGGGTCGGGTGTGGGTCGGGGAGGGCTACATCCATCACCCGACCCACCTTATATTTTCTCCACCCACCCCCACCTCCAACCCGCATCGGGTGGACTTTTTCAGAACCCACCCCCACCCCCACCGGGTGCGGGTGCTCACTACGGGTACCCACCACTTATCATCTTATTATGTTTTTCAAAAAATAATATTTAAATTATTTACACATAATAAAAAAATAAAATCCATTAGTGATACTAAAACATAAATAATTGAAATATTTAAATATAATAACTAAATTGTTAATTTTTAAAATAAACTTAGTAGTTTTGATATAAAAAATAGTAAAAAGATACACGGAGTTATATAAACTATTATAAATAACTACATACTAGTATTTATTTTACTATTATATATATATACACACACACATGGTGGGTCGGGTGGGGTTCTAGGCGGGTCTTGTACATAGAACCCAAATCCAACCCGACCCACCGCGGGTTTTCTTTTTTAAGACCCACCCCCGACCCACCACCCACCATCACCCAAAAAAACCCGATCCATGCGGGGTGGATTCGGGTGGATATCCACGGGTCGGATTGAAATTGCCATCCCTACTTCAAATAGTTGAAGCTTAACACGGTAATGCATAATCCGTGTTAGGTGAACAGTACATGTGTCACTAGGTCAAGTGTACAATAATAGTATCTACAGCTCAAACCACAAGTCCACAAGTACCAAAAATTAGTTGAACAACCACGGAAAAGCAACTTACACATTACACCCAGTCAGAAGATATTAATAAAGATCAAATGTACTATTAATCCTTTTTTTCAAATTGGCAATACCAATAGAATTTTATAATCAGCGCGTAGTTATGTAAGGATAATTTGTAGTTCTAGTGATTAAAATCAAAGGATAATGCTAAAAATACAATTGATGCTGAGCCAATAAAGGTGATAGTGAAGTTGTAATTAAATAGGATTCTGCAAGCTGGATGTCAATAATAAAATACAGCTGCAAAATCACGATCACCAACCCGATGCAATAAAGCACATCACTATTGAATAACTGGCATATTTCTGTTGCCTTCAATAAACACTAGTCAAAGAGTCAAATATTCATGCTCAGAAAAGATGGCTAAAGTTGCCTTCAACTCACAAAATGAGCAAATCCAAGCAAAAAGAATTAAATAACGAACCTGAAAAAGTGGGTGGAACTTCCCAGAGCAAGCCTTTACAACTTCTTGTCCAACAATACCGCCAAACATAGCAGCCATTGGGTTTAGCACAGCCCTAGCACCAAAGGCAAAACTTCGGAGAAGTTTATGGTCAACCTCTTCAAGTTTAGCATCAGGCAAACTATTGTTAAGTTCAGTAAACAGCTGTATAAGTTTCTGAGCGTCTTCTTCTGATCCAGAAATAGGAAACCGTCCTAACTCCAAAATAAACTTATCCAACGCTTGAAATGCTAAGTGCAGTACTGGTGGTCGTTCAAATTTTGAGAAGTCACTGAGAAGAAAATCACCAGGATCCTTAAGTGTTTCTCGCAGCGGCTTGAATTTCAAGACTTTAGGTTCCTTTACCTGTGTGACAATACCACCTCCCTCATATGCGGTATACTTTGTGGTATCTTCTTCAATCGTAAATGAATAAGGCCTTGCATTTTTTATTTTCCTTGGCTTTCCATCATTCAATTCTGTCATTCCTCGGACTTCGGAAAAGACAATAAGATCTCCATCCTGAAACTCAAGCCTTTCATCATCAACGCACGCAACAAGAGCAGGATTGTCATTGCTAATAGATGCAATAATGCCTGTACGTGGATCCTCGCCATCAACATCAAGAACTGTGAATTCAGGGCCAAAGTCACAAAATACACTACCAAAAAGGCCACATACTTCAGTTTTGATAAAGGCAATTGGAGGCTGGTGATTATGACAGTAATCATCAAATTCCATTGCCTTCTCTAAGCGGATATCAGTAAATACAGCTGCCTGCATCCCAAACATCAAACATGAAAGGTTGTGTTATTTTGTATAGTGTACATGAGATGGCATATTAAATTAGTATAGTTAACCAAGGAGGGCACTTGCCTGAAAATCAGAGAGTTGTTCCTTACTCAACTCATTTGTTAGGGTAGAAATAATCACAGAATTGTTTAGTTCTTGCAATTTCTGAACAGAAGCAAGAGCCCTGTTTTTCCCCACATCATCCTCAGAGAAAACAAAATTGCTAGACAGATCCCACAGCTCCACATTTCCTTCATCGTGTAAAGTAACAGATTTGACACCAGCAAGAATGAGGTTCTTCGCTGCCAATAACAATAACAATAAAATGATGCTCTTAGTTGCAAGTGTCAATTCAAAATAGTCAGATATATAAAATGATGCTCTCTGCTGCCAAGTAAATACAATGCAACTACAATACTACATACAACAAAGAAGAAATAAACATTACACTGAATAAAGGTATTATAACAAATACACAACCCTAGATTCACTTCATGAATGTATATGCATCATTTTAAAGACTGTAAATACATTCGGGCAACAATCAGTGCACACCTAGGTCGCCAGGTGCCTTTTAATGAAGGAATGTGTGTATAAATATTGCAGTACTTGCCGTTGGAATTACATTGAAACTAGATAAAATGAGATTATCAGAGTTCCTGTGAGCTCAATCATCACAATATACAGATCGGGATCATACAACAGCTAAAAAAACAACAAACCAAATTTTTAAAAAAATAAATAAATAATGATGCACAGCATTTAAAAGTGAGCTACCTGCATACCTCAACAATTCAGACACAAAATCCAAATAAATGGGAAAACAAATTCAAAATAAAAAGGAAAACTATCATTCCATACCGATCTCAACTCCGAGGCCTTTCATTCCAGAGATAAGAACATTAGAGCCGAACAACCGACGCATGGTCTCACGGCCATACACAGCGAGCTGACGGCTGTGCAGATCCTCATCGATGTCGGGAGAATTACGCGAGCAGTCAATCGGCGATTTACCATTCTCAGTCCGACGGCCGTTACTAACAGCATCATTTCCGTTCACCTCCACGCCTCCCATCTCGACACTCGATTCCTCTCCGCCGCCGCCGATATAGCAATCGGATTTGAGCCGTTTGTTCAGGGAATAAGAAGCAGAGGAAGAAGAACCTTCTAGTTCTGAAGCGGCGGCGTCCCCTCCAACTGCTGACCTCTTCAACGGAAGCATAAAGCGGTCTGAACTGATTGATTCATCAATAGCCATGTTAAAATCTTCAAATTATTATAAATTTATAAAAATAAAACTTGAGCAATTTCACAGCAGAAAAACTCAGGTCCGAATCCAGATGTATGTACGAATGAGGAGAAAGGGTAAAGTAAATAAATATAAACGAATGAAAGGAGACGTACCGAAAAAGACAATGAAGGACTGAAGGAAGCTCAAGGAAGGAAAGTGGGGATGCCTGAGATTATTAATAGGGTTTCCTTCATCACCTTTCGGAGCTTATTAATCAAGGAAATGAGAGTGTTTCGTTTGTGTTTACTGTTTAGGTACTTGTCTCCTTTGATTTCTGGCTGCAAATGTCATTGCAAATTATAAATTATTAATTTATTAATTTTATTTGCTTAAACATTTATCCAATTTAAGAAAAATAATCGAAAATTTAAAGTGAACGTAGGATATATAAACTTTTCATATTTGGTAGTAATATTATTTTATGTAAATTGTCAATTACAATATTGTTATGATATATTATATTTATGCTATTCAATTATATTATATATAAGGTTTAAAATATTGTTTATAGCTGCAACTCTATTATGTAATTACACTTTATTTCATGGAATTTGTCTCATATAAAGTTTTGCATTAACGTTATAAATTTTATTTTATATAACAAATAAAATATTGATTATATTTGTAATAATGTTATGTAATAAAGTCATATGGTCTTGTGAAAATTAAATGGTGATAATCAACATTTAATTTTTACAAGACCATAATAATATTGTTATTGTGAAAATTAAATGTTGATAATTAACATTTAATTTTCACAAAACCATAATAATATTGTTAATTATAATAACAACAACAACAATAATAATAATAATTGCAATAATAATAATAATGATAATAATTTTCACGGACAGTTTCTATAATATATATACTTATTTATTTATTTATTATATTTATTTATATTTCAATTTCTACGGGCAAATTATTGTGAGGAACGATGGTCCACATAATTGTATGGATCATGAATATCAAATACATTTTTAATATATTAAAAATACATTATTTTTATATTGAAAGTACCTTACATACATATATAATGTACCCTTAGTATATTTAAAATATACTTTTTATTGCATGCAATCCCAAATTTCATAAGTTTGAAATTAATATATGGCATAGCTAAGCGGCCTAATATTTAAGATTGTTGATGTGCAAATTGAGGACTACGGAGACAAATATGCGTTATTCGTGGATTCATCGGATACTATCCAACAACATTCTCCAACTTAATTGACGTGAAGTGGCTTAGTAACATTAAGATTATATTCTCGAATTATTAGTTCTCATCTTTTATTGATTACACACTTAATTCGATAGTATTTGGAAGAAAAAATCAATGTTCGAACTAAGATTGTGATTTTGGTCTTTAAAGGTCAATTGTATGTTGCTACATCTAGAGTTAGAAATCTCAAAGGTCTAAAAATTTTGATCCGTGGTGACTCTAAAATTGTAATTCAATTACTATTGTAGTTTACTAAGTTCTTAAAAATTTGTAATATTAAATACTATGTACTAAATTTTTAATATAGTTTAAGATTTGTAGTAATCACCCACCTTAAATGTTATTTTAATTGTAAATATATTTATGTTCATAATTTTATCATAGGAATTCACACATAATAATTATTAAATAACAAAAATTTTATATATGAATAAACCTCATATAGGGTATAGTTTTATAACATATTTTCCGTGCATCGCATGGGACAAATACTAATATTGACTATATATTAATATTATTATGTTATTACTTTATTTTCGGCAAATTATATATTACAATTTTACTATAAAGTATTACATGTATGTTATAAAGTATCTTAACTATAATATAGTCATATGAATTGGTAGAGCAATTATTGTGACAATAATTGCTCACCAAACCATATGGTTATATTACCATATGGTTATATATTTATTACATGGTAAATACAAATTCAAATTAACCTTAATTCATTTTTCATCTCTCTTGCCTCATCCAATCCATCTAAAAATTCACAAATAAACTTCAATTGAGATTATTCTAATGAGGTCAATCTTAAAAATTTAGTACATAATATTTAATATTACAAATTTTTAAGAATTTAGTAAACTACAATAGTAATTGAATAACAATTTTCAGAGTCACCACATATCAAAATTTTTAAACCTTTGAGATTTCTAACAATTTTCAGAGTCACCACGGATCAAAATTTTTAGATCTAAAATTTATAGAAATCTCAAAGGTATAAAAATTTTGATCCGTAGTGACTCTGAAAATTGTAATTCAATTACTATTGTAATTTTACTAAGTTCAATTCTTAAAAATTTGTAATATTAAATACTATATACTAAATTTTTAATATAATTTAAGATTTGTAGTAATCACCCAACTTAAATATCAATTCTTATTTTAATTGTAAATATATTTATGTTCATAATTTTATCATAGCAATTCACACATAATAATTATTAAATAACAAAATCTTTATATATGAATAAATCTCATATATGGTATATTTTTATAACATATTTTCTGTGTATCGCACGGGATAAATACTAGTTATAAGTATAAGGCTTAAAATATTATTATTTTTTGAAAATTAAATTAAATTATTGATTATATATGCAATGTTGTTATGTTATCGTTTTATTTCGTACAAATTGTCCATTAGAGTTTTACTATCAAATACTTCATTTATGCTATAAAGTATTACAGAATATATATATATATATATATATATATATATATATATATATATATGGTTTAAAGTATTGACGATATATGTAATTTTATTATATTATTACTTTATATTTCTCCAAATTGTCTATTGCAATTTTATTGTAAAATTATGCATTTATGATATAAACTTATTATATATAATACTCAAAATATTACGGAATAATTATATTTGTAATTATGTTATGATCTATTATTATTAGATATAAGATAAGATACTACGCATAGTATTTCTCTCAAGAGACCAATCCAAAAACATATTGTGTAGATTGACAATGCATTGTGTATATCGATGAACCAATGTTGACAATGTATCATGGATCATGATTCAAATTATCTGTATAAAATTAATATGTTATGTATTTTCAACTAACAAATTGTGTATATGTTAAATGCAGGGGCGGTTTTTGGCCCGTGCATAATTTCCAACTGCAAATGACATCAATTTTAGAGAGACTAATATCTAATTTTCACCTAGGTGCTTAAGAAAAAAAAAATACAATTAAACCCACATTCATTCACGTATACTTTTATTTTGCCTAAAACTCATAAGTTTTTTTTTTTTTTTTTTTTTTTTCCTCCAAATCACCCACTACCATTGAAGAGGACAAGATTATTCCTTTCTCCATTAATTTTATAATTTTTCCCCAAATTTTTTTATTACCAAAGTTGTAATTCAATTTTCACTAATCTCTCATAATTGATTGAGCATGATTATGGCAAAATTGTTCAAAATTTTTATATTGAAAAATAATATATAAACTAGTATTTGTCACGTGCGATGCACGAGAAATATGTTATAAAAATATACCATATATGAGGTTTATTCATATATACAAATTTTGTTATTTAATAATTATGTGTGAATTGCTATGATAAAATTATGAACATAAATATATTTACAATTAAAATAAGAATTTATATTTAAGGTGGATGATTACTACAAATCTTAAACTATATTAAAAATTTAGTACATAGTATTTAATATTACAAATTTTTAGGAACTTAGTAAACTACAATAGTAATTGAATTAAAATTTTCAGAGTCACTACGGATTAAAATTGTAGACCTTTGAATTTTTTAGAAATCTCAAAGGTCTACAAATTTTGATCCGTGGTGACTCTGAAAATTGTAATTCAATTACAATTATAGTTTACTAAGTTCTTAAAAATTTGTAATATTAAATACTATGTACTAAATTTTTTAAGATTGACCTCATTAGAATAATCTCAATTGAAGTTTATTTGTGAGTTTTTGGATGGATTGAATGAAGCAAGAGAGATAAAAATGAATTAAGGTTAATTTGAATTTTTATGCACTATGTAATAAATAAATAAATAAATCTTAACTATAATATAACCATATGATTTGCTGAGCAATTATTGTTACAATAATTGTTCACCAAACCATATGGCTATATTATAGTTAAGATAAGAATGATATATTTTACGGTATTGATTTTAAGATAGTGCTCATACTTTGTATAGGGCCTCGTCAACTCAAAGCATATAATATATTAATGATATGTATATAATTTAGACCATGGCACATAATAAATTATGCTGTGCAACCGTGTGCACCATGTATGGTGCACACGATTGCAAAAACGACGTCGTTTTGACTAAAAACGCGCGTCCCACTTAAAAAAAAAAAATCAGGTTTGATTACCGGCAATAGCATTTTTTGTGCATAATTTGAATTATATATCCACAAACTCATAATTATATATCCATAAATTTATAACTATATATTCACAGTGAATGAATAACACAAAATTCAGAATGAATGAACTAAATATCCATAAATTCATAACTATATATCCACAAACTCATAATATTATATCCACAAATTCATAACTATATATCCACAATAATTCATAACTATATATCCACAATAATGTTGTTGAGGGGAATCAAAATTGAATTTTCTTTTTTAAAATGAGACGCACGTTTTTTAATCAAAACGGCATCATTTTGCAACCGTGTGCACCGCACAGCATAACTATTGTAGGTCGTGACCCAGATATAATTTGCGGATCTCGCCAATATTGGGCCATCAAGTCCGAATTTGCAAATTGGATTGGGCCGTTAGCTAATCTGTAAGAGTGACAAAAATACGGAGTAGAAAGATTATCCCAAATCATCGATGATCTCTACCTGACTGCAGTCGCAGCTAGTCCGCCATTGTCAAATCTCCCTCGCTCCATTGCTACTCAAGCACAAGCTCGGAAACCACTATAACCCGAAACAATGGCATCGGTTAACTTCAACCCTTTCAGTGATAACTGGTTCAGTAAACCTCCAAATCCTATTAAATTCGTCGATGTGCATACATTTTTTGAGTCTGTAAACCCCTTTAAACCCCAAACTAAGAATCCTCCCTTTGCCGCCATTTCACTCCCATTTTCTCGAAAACCGAAGAAGGAAAAACCTCCTGGCCCTGGAATGTATCGCCGGATGCTTGACCAGTTCTACTGGGAGTGCGAGACGCTGCCGGACCACCGGCACACGCCGAAAGTAGAGAAGATACTGAGCGAGGATTCGATTTTTGAGACGAAGGAGAACCCGACCCAAGAGGAGATTGAGGAGAACGAGAGGTGGTTCTCAGAATTCAAGGAAAGCCCGGTTGTGCAGTTTTTGGCCCGCGCTGAAGAGATTGCAGATAAGATTAATGAGACTGCTCTTCGAGAGAATTCAGCTCCTTACCAGAGAGAAGACAAAAAATTGTGGAAGGTATTAACTTGCTCTAATTGAAAGTCCGCACCCAGATTCCATATGGATTTTCTATTTCATTTTTGAATTTCAAAGTTCATTTATTTGCTTATATAGTCAGATAAATGCGGTGATTATATCAAAGTTCTAGAAGGCTTGAAGTGCTAGTCTATTTAGGGCAGTAAAATGAGCACTGAAATGAAGTACATTTCCATATAAAAATTTAATTCTCAACTCTGATGGAATGTAAATGAGTTTCAGGGAGAAATTATTATCTCTGTTATTGTTCTGATTTTTCAGCAAGAAATTGTAAAAGCAGATTAAGTATATAGTTTAGCTTTGAAGTTGAACTTCATATTTTCCATTATCTGCAGAAACTATTTGATAGAATTTATGGTATTTGTTCTACTTTCTGTATAGTAATTTAAAAATATTCTGATAAAGCTTGCTATGTTCGCTTCTGAAGGCAGTTCCTAATGTGATTGGATTGGATGGGAGGCCAATGCCGAGGAAGGCCATAAAGACGAAAGACGAGTCAGATGATAAATTCTGGGATTTTGCAAGGCAATTCTTTTTTGGGCTCTGGGGGTTCCGACAAAGGCCATATCCACCTGGAAGGCCCATTGATGCTGCACAGGCTATTGGGTATAAGAAGCTTGAAAAGCGGTATTACGATTGTATGTTCTCTGCATTAAATTTAAGTAGTTTGTTTTTAGCAGTTTGATTGTTATAACTGTGTCAATGCATGTATTTTGACCTTCTGCCATGATTTTTAGTCTTTTCTTGCCATTTTATTTATTAGCTCTCATAGATGGAGTAGTCACTTTTCAATTTTCTTGTTTATCTCCGATTAGTTTTCATTCAGTTGAGCTTTATTGTTACTTTTGCCCAGTTATAATGAAGACTGGTGGATGGTTTTACAAGGATAGATTGGGTCGTTCAAGGGGTCCCATGGAATTAGTACAGCTTAGGACTGCTTGGACTGGTGGAATCATTGACAGGCATACTTTCGTTTGGGGTGACGACATGGATGAATGGGCACCTATATCCATGGTTTATGGCTTGGAACGTGCTATTGCCACCTGGGACGGTTTGTTTTCACCTACTTGTGTCTTCTACAATTTCTTCGGCTATTGATCTCATTTATGAATTTGGTTACAGAGCAGATAAAAGTTACATGATGTTTTGCCATGGGAAGAAATACCATAATCACAAGGATTCTCTCAAATATGATATTCTTTTTAAATAACACCCTCATGGTAATTTAAGAATAAGATGCATATATAACACTTTGGATGTTCAACCTACTGTTTTACAGATTTCGGTGATGTGTATGCTTGTATCCCAATTCATATCTTATGCTGTGGCATGTAATATACATTTCTGCAAACTTATTGATTGGGTTGAATGTGTTTGATTTCCAGTCAGACTATTTGCTGCTGCTACAACCTTATTCCACAAAGTCCAGAAGGGTATACCTCCTTGGGTTCCTCTCAAGGGGCAAGAGGAAAAGACCTATAATCAGCTCCAACAAGAAGCTTATGAGAGCAAGAAGCGTGACTTGGCTGTTCTGGAAGCAAATGGCGGTGTGTGGCCTGGCGTAAGAACTCCAAGTCATGCTCTGTTTCTCTGGGCCAGTGGATCTGAGCTGACATCAATTTTGGATGAGGATCACATGCCTAACAAATACATTCCAAAAGATCTCAGGTGCGTAATATCCTTCATCGTGCATTGATAACAACTGAACCCATTCTTAATTCCAAATTAGTTGAAGCATGCCTTACTAAGCTCTGTTTAAACGCTAAATATGCCCAATCTTTTATGTTGCAAATGTTTTATAATAACTTTAAGCGGAGTAAATTTCGGTCTAGCACTTCATTTCTTCTTTTACTACCATGTACTCCAAATCCTGCTTGGCTGAGAACAGTATACCCTATGCGCGTGCGGTAAGACCATGTTATCTTCCTGTTTGTGAATGTTACCACTGCATTTTGCTCATTGTTTCTGTTAGAATATCCCGCTTCATAATTGCATCAGCTACTCTGTTTACTAAGCATAGCCTTTCTGGTACAGGATTCAATTGGCTAAGATAATCCCTGGGCTACGGCCATGGGAGGTTCTGAGTGTTGAACAAGCAATGGATCAATTAACATTTGGACGTGATTGGTATCGTGAACCCCTTGGTTCATACACAACAGGCCCTCCTTACATTTATGATTGGAATAGGGATATCTGGGTACGGATTCCCCACCAAACACTCATGCTTTTCTTATTTCTGCATTAGTTTTGACTTACAAATCCACATGTTGGCATGGGAATCTAAAATATGTCAACAATTTAATGAATTTTGCTCTTAGTATCTCACCTTTCATGAAAGAAGGTTCAAAAAGAAACTAAAGTACCATTCAAATGGCGCTTCTTGTACCTGATATTTGAGTCAGTTTCACGTGGTCATGCAATTCTTCTTTCTACCTGCAGGCCTTGGCGGGCCACTACAATGACTTCTGGGTAAAAATGCGTAGCATACTAATGCGTGGCATCCCCGGTTTTGGCGCTGTGTTGGATATAATTGCAGCTTATAACGCCGCCAGATTGAAGAGGAGAATGAGGATCAAGGAAGCGAAGAAGAATGCCGAGCTGGAAAGGAAGTACCTTGGTCATCGTCGTGGTGAAAAGTGATCAGCGATGTTTGATCGGATCGGCTTGCAGACAGTAAAATACTAGAAAAGATTGTTGCCAAGATTCTGCTGTGGCAAAAGCATTCATTAGCTTGCTGCTTCTCCATGACCTATAAACTCGACGCTGCATAATAGCATATATATGATTTCTGATACTTACAATTATCCAAAGGGTTTTCACTTGTGTCATTTTTGGCCGTCTATTCACAACCTAAAACCTTTGATTTTTACGGCAATGGAAACTTGAAACAACTTTTTTATTTCTTGTTTTCTATTTTTGTCCACAAAAAGTGAAATCCTTTACTCGAATATGATAGGATTGTGAATGGATAACTCGCGACTCAGATATTCATTAGGTAGGAAGATCAATGTCTGTTACTCACAATGAGTTACCTCAAAAAGAATTTTACAATTAATCAATTATCAAGATTTAATCATGTGTCATTGCCAATAAAGTTACAACTAAGTGAGTTATGTGTTAGGGTTTATTGTTTTCTAGTTGTAAATGTATAAATAAATGAAGAATTTGATTTAATTCATCAATTACTTTTAATTCTGTAGTAATCTTTATGGTTTTAGTTTCAAATTTATCATTTTGTTAAGAATTTATAAATGGTTAAAATGATTTTTTTTTTAATTCTGATAAAATTTAAGGTATTATTTGCATTGAATATAAATAATTGTACAGTACTGAAAATAATTCAAAAAATATACGATCACTCGATATTATAAATTTATTATATTATTATTATGCAATAAAATTTTGGTTGGTACAGGCGTCCAGCACCGACTTTAGCAAATTGAGATAGGTGGGGTGGGATGTGTCAGGAAATGTCACGTGTCCGGTGTCCCGACAATGAAAAGGTAAGGCAGGGACATGAAAATACGCGAGGAAAATGTATATATAAATGGACGGAGTACGCGGTTGCATTTTCTATGTAATCACCCATCCAGAAGAAAGAAGAGAAACTAACTAAGATGGAAGACGGAGTGGAAGCCATTGAAGACTTGGTTAAGAACAGCGAGGATATGAGTGCAGATCAAGAAACGGAAGAACAAATTCAACAAGGCAGCAGCGATCGAGAAGAAGAAGAAGGCAAAAAGTCTAGTGGGGTTGTCAAAAGCTTGATTTCTGCCTTGGTTTCGAGAGGGAGAGAGGGGGAAGAAGTGGAGGGGAAAAGCGAAGACGGCAGAGCCTCCGATCCTGCAGATGAAGCAAGCGGCGGCGGTGGTGACGGAGGCGGAGGAGGAATCATCAACAGTTTTATTTCAAACATCTTCCACCAGAGTGAAGCCGGAGATGGGGAGAGGGAAAGCAATGGGAATGGAGAGAGTGATGCCGAGAATGGCGGAGAAGATGAGCAAGTCAAGGATGCTGAAGGCGGCGGCGGCGGCGGCGGCAGTATCAGCGTTCTGGATAATATTGTTTCTCACTTGCCAAAGCCTCTCTCAGGTATATATGGCCGTACGTGATTTCTGATTTGCGTGTGAGTATTGTGTTTTTTAATTTGCTGATTTTGGTTGTTACTGTGAACAGATAGTATGGCGCCGGAAGAGGCGTCTATATTGATCCATTCCATTGTGCATGACTAATGGAGATGGGGCTATGGTCTTCAAATATTTGTATTTTACCAACATTAAATGATCATATCTGTTCTCAATTCTTGTAAATTATATTTAGATGCAAATTATGTTCTATAATGGTCACGAACTTTCCTGGTCACTCAATATTATGTACTACAAATTTATAAGATTGATGTTTTGTATTTTTTTTTAAAGAAAAAATTAACTATAATCTGCTATATCATTAAAGGATGAATGCATGAATAATGAGTTATATTATGTGGATTTTCAAATTATACTTTTTATGTAGTAAATATTGATATGATGATTTTATTGTGTGAGTTCGGAAAAAAGTTGTCTACTTTTAAGATTCGTGAGAGAGTAAAAGTTGAGAGTATAATTTGAGAATATAAATAGTATTTTTATGGAGGATTAGACTCTCAAACAATAATATGATCACAGTTCTCAACTCTTGTGACAAGAGCGTGGATAGTTGATTGCCCATCCTCGATCTAAAAACTAAAGAACAAGAAACAATCGAATCTAATAATGTTAAAAAAAAAAACAAAAAACAAAAAAACGAAGGCAACATATCCTATCCGAATATTCCTAACTCCCTTTGCATTCAATTAACCAAGATAGTATCTCCTTCCAAGTCAAAATTTTCTCTTAACAAGAGCTCGAGAGCACACAACAATGGTTCATTCGACGCTACCTTGACTATCCGTCCATCACCGTCAAGCAAGCAGAAATCGGAACTGGCTTACGTATAGTAACGTAAAAATGTGCAATTAGGTTACTGAACACTTCAAATGTATGCAATTTCACAGTATAACATGTTACCACCTTGACTCTATTATAAATAGTCAATGTCCCCACATTGGGTTTGAACATAAAACCTCTAATTTGAGGGGCACAACTATGTCGCTCGATCACAAAGTCTTTAGCACTAAATTGGTAATATGTAAATGTAATTTTGGACGAGCCAACCAAGCCAACATAACACGCAATTGTATCAACACGGTCACATTGACATCATTAACATATTATTGTAACGATATAATGAATCATAAGGTGAAATTATGAATTCAGACTTCAAATACTAGACATTGAAAATCTCTGGCTTTATATAAGTGAGTATCATATCATATTATCATATTTGTCGATAAGGAAATTCTCTCTCAGCTGCGAATCAGCGATGGAGAAGAGAATTGCAAAAAAATTGATTTTACAATTTTATCCTTAAATTTAAGGCGTAACTAACTGTGATTTAACAAAATGATCATAATTAGAACAAAATTAATAGTCAATGAGTTAATTTTAATAACATTAAAAGTCGATAATAAAAATTAATAAAAGTTAATAGTCCAAGTACCATACATGAAAGTAACTCTATACTAAAATGAATATTTATATAGAGAAAATTACCGATTTGGTCCCCGACTATGAAGATTTTATCAATTTGGTCCTCGCTTTCAAAATTCTCAATTTCATCATCGACTATGTCATTTTTCTCTATTTATATATTAAAAATGAACATGTGTGTAGCGATACACATATAATGTTTGATATTCAACTAGTTGACGGTTGACCAAAGAAGATGAGTCAGGCAAATTATTATGTGAACCCGAGTCTATATTGTAAGATGGATCCGAGTTTAAAATACACAATTTACATACTGAATGTTCACAATTTTGTAAAAAATAAATTATGAACATTTAGTATGTAAATTGTGAACGTTAAGTATATAAATTATGTATGTAAATTGTAAATTATGAATATGCAGTATATAAATTGTGTATTTTGAATTCGGATTCACATTGCAAGGTAGGGCCGGGTCTATGGTATAACTATTGGAAAAGTGATGAATGGGCTGGATCACCAGAATTATTGGTTATTGTTTCAGCCCATTCACTCATCACAATTCACAAGATCCAATCCTTTTTTTAAAAATTTTTATTATGTTGGGCACATAGATCCAATCCAAGTTGATTTAGCGTAGGAAACCCTTTCGGCCTGCCACGGAACAGCAGGGAAGTTCAGATTCAGGGAGCTTCAGTGATTGCTCGAAAGCTTGTCTGCGGCGGAGGACAAGAAAGACCGACAGAGCAAGACGAAGCTCTGTAGATTGGTTCCGATCCTCAATCACAATGGTTAGCTCCTCTCACATTTCAGCTTCCAATTTTATCTGCAACATTCGAGCGAGTTCTTCTATGAATTAGAATTGCCAAAAGTTCAGTGTCGTTTTGAAATGACAGAGATTTTTTGGATTATATGCATGTCGACGTTGGTGTATTTTCATGTATGCCGACTGATGGATGCATTATCATGTTTGAGATCTGAGTTCAACTTTTGTTTGATGAATTTACAGATGTTAGTAGCTTCAGAATCTCATTTTCTTCTCCGGATATTGAATGGTAGCTTCCAAGTCCTAGACTCTATCAGATACCAAATTGATATTCTTTTTGCTGATTTTTTCTGCTCCAATCCCAGCTCAAAATTAATCAATACAAGGTATGTGATTGTGTTACTAACTGACACTAAGGATCAAAATGTGTCTCAAATGTATTTAAGGTGCATCTTATATTTCATTTCTCTGTAATACTTTAAATTAATGTTTAGAAAAGATGGCATTATGCGAAGTGCAATTCCATCAGAGAGGAATGAGTTGCCTCCAAATCAGGGTGAAGACACAGGTGCGGTCTTCAATGTATTGGATTCAATGTTGAAGGACATGTTGGACCGATTAAAGACTATGAGGTTAGTGGTATATATAAATGGAAACAGCAGTACCACTATTATATATGCTGTAAGAACTTTCACTTAGAAATTGTGGAAGAACCTGAATTCTCACTGTTATCACCTTATATTTTCTGTCCTTTCAAGAAGAATGTGAAAGTTGACTTGTTATTTGCCTATAGTAGTTATTTTGCAATAAGGATAAAAACCCCAATTATTTTGCTGAGAAATTGGGGCTAATTGTGCCTGTATATGTTTCATCCACCTTCACGAAGTTGACTTGTTATTTGCCTATAGTAGTTATTTGAAGTGGTTTCAAAGCCTTTGCAATTGTTAGAAACATCTAAGTTTGTACTTGAAGAGTATTCTTAAAACACTTTGTCTACTTGCTTATGAGGATCTATCTTGTTTGTTCACTGTGAGATAACAGAAAAAGTTCAAAATTAGCTTATAGGAGGTGTCTCATCTTTTTCTTTGTTTAGTAGGTTACATCTATTTTTCTGTTAAAACATTACATTGGATAAAAATTTTCATTGAAGTCATTTGTTATTGATTTAATATTTTTGTTATATGTGTTTTATTTCCTTAAATTTAAAGGTTTGCTCCTTGCATTAGATTCTTTTTCAACCTCACTTGCATTCCTTCATAATGACTAAACATGGAGCTAGAGTTTTAGAGTGTGCTCATGCTTAGTAACTTATGATAACATATCTTGTATGTTTGAAACTTTTGAAATAAAGTTCATGCTTCTATTTCAAAGCCCTTAACTAGCTCTCAATTTTAAATTCATGAGTTTGATGCAGGGAAAGAAAATCATGGACTTGCATTGGCTTTGATAGCATATCAAAGTCAAAGTTGCGTAATGACGAACACATCATCAGAGCATTGTGCAAGGAAGGTAAACTGGGGCCTGCTTTGTCTCTTTGGAGCAAGATGATACATAAATTTGTCAGTCCTGATGTATTTACGTACAACTATCTTATCAACGGACTAAGCAAGGCTGGTGATTTGGAGAAGGCAGAGTGGCTTATCAAAGAGATGCTATACAGGGGCCCTACTCCTAGTTGTGCTACATATAATACCTTAATTAAAGGTTATTGCCGTAATAATAATGTGGATAGAGCTCTAGATATATTTTCAACAATGTCTAACCATGGTATTACCCCGGACAGAGTTTCTTGTAATATACTTGTTGATGCACTTTGCAAGAAGGGTCTCATTGAGGATGCGAAGAAACTTCTAGAGGCAATAATAGGTGATGAGCATGATGAGGAAAAGCCAAATTTAATTACATCAACTATAATTATGGATGGTTGCTTTAAAAATGGGGATAGTGTTCAAGCTCTTGCCTTATGGGAGAAGTTAAGGAGTGTCCAAATTGATGGAATTGCCTATAATGTTATTATCCATGGATTCTGTTTGAGCCAAGACATAGTCATGGTATATAATTGTATGTGTAAAATGCTGAAGACTGGTATTGCACCTGATGTTTTTTCTTACAATACATTTATTAGTTTACTCTGTAAGGAAGGAAAAATGGATGAAGCTTGTTATATGTTTAATGTCATGACAAGAATGGGTGTTTGTCCTGACAGAATCACTTACAAAATGATTATTCAAGGCCTATGTATGAATGGAGAGGTTGGTAAAGCCAATGACTTTCTTTGTTGTATGCTAGAGAATTCAATCATCCCTGAACCTCTCATATGGAATGTTATGATTCATGGCTATGGGAGGCATGGAAGTGTAAGAAGTGCTGAATACATTAGAAGCAAGATGGTTGCATTTTGTGTTCCGCCTAATGTATATACTTACAATGCACTGATTTATGCTAAGATAAATGATGGAAATTTCATTGAAGCTCACTCTTTGAAAAAGGAGATGCTCTTACATGGACTTCTCCCTGATCTGGTCACTTTTAATCTGTTGATTGGTGCAGCATGTAGTGTTGGCAATATACATTCTGCACTCCAGCTATATGGGGAAATGTTGAGAATGGGCTGTGAACCAGATATAATTACTTTTACTGAATTGCTCAAGTGCTGTTGTATATTAGGTAAAATGAAAGAGGCTGAATGGCTCTTTGGCGTGATAAGGAGGTCTGGAATAAGAGTAGATCATGTACCATTTCTAGTACTGATGAAAAGATATTGGGGAATGAGGGAGATTGACAAAGCATTTGACCTTTATCAAGAATGGTTAATAACAAAGGATGGGTGATTGCTTTTATCACTAAAGCTTGTTGCTGTGAAGTTGGTGATAGACGGAATAAAAAGGATGAATGCCCCAAAACAATGGATGCTGCACAAGTAGGTGGTCCTTCTGTCTGTAGATTGAATAACCTTTCCTTTGTTTTATAGATTTAATTCATAGCTTCACTATTCTCTGCTTCTTTCCACATGTGCATGTGCATGCATTTGCATCAAAGATGTCCATTCATGATGCTAATCTCTAGTCCTTGTTCATGTTCTATATGCTGATTCCTGAAACCAAAGCCTTCAAGAGCAGGGCCTAATAAATTCTGAAAGGCTCAGTTTGACAATGCTAATCTCTAGTCCTTGTTCATGTTCTATATGCTGATTGCTGTAGCTGTGCCTTTTAATTGTGATGTAGTATACTGAGACACCTGAATTTATTAAACATTGATGATTGATGCCAGTAATTCTTGTACTGTCTAAAACTTTTTGAATGTTCTTTGTTGCTAGATGGCCGTGAATTCCCTTATCTACTGATTTTCCCTATGACACTAAGGGGTGATTTCAACTTTGCACTATTAGAGCTGAGGTGTCTAAGGTATGTTCTTTCATATAATATCTTATTGCAAGTATTTTAATTTTGTGATGAGGAATCTTGTTTTTTCCCCCATATCTCATTATTGCACACTGGATTTGTTCTTAGGATGTATGTCTTGTCAATCAAATGCAAGGTAAATGATTAGTTGGGCAATATGTTGAATGCTGTAAATCTACTAGAGAATAAAAGTAGATGGCTTCTATTAAAAGTTAAAACCTGTACATACTTTTAAAATACTATCTGTTGTCTGTAAAAAGTTAAGAGCAGATACAAAAAACAACCCACACTATTTTACAATTTGCACTTCATGTTTAACAAGATGCTACTTATATTTAATTATTGTAACACCGAGCAAATTCTGATGACTTCTCTGGCTAAAATAGGATCATGTGCATGCTTCATGTTGTCATGTTTTTATTATGGATATTTTAGTCCTTTTCTTTGAAGGCCTATGCAATCCTCCTGTGCTTGCCTTTTCCTGCAAGTATATAGCTTTTCACTTGATTAGTCCCCTTTTGCTCCTTTTACAACCGACGTTGGTTTAAAAAAAAAACTCAAATTTTTATATTCAATTCTTAATATGTTTCATTATAAGTGGAAGGAAGTAGATCAAATGTTTGTATATACTCCATATATGTGTAGATCAAATGTATGTATATATAATATATCTACGTGTAGATAGAGATTGAATCACCTTGATCTAATGATTTTTGTTTAGGAGCCTTTATGCTTCTAACAATCTCAAGCCTCTCAGAGAATGAGTGAATTGCCCAAAATGGGAGTTGGGGTTTGGGCTGTTGGTTGACATGGGCAGTTTGTGTTTGTATCTCTACGGAGAGGCTAAAATAGCCACATGAACTTAATCAATGTTACAATGATTAAAAAAGAAAAAGAAGAGGTTGCATTTAAAATGTAGTTTGTTAAGTGTAAATTGCATTTAAACTATAGGTTTCTAATTCAAATTTACTCTTAAAAGTTAAAACTATTGATTCTTGATATTATGTTTAATCTCTGATGGCACAGCAAGTAATACATTGTATTTTCTGGTCCTTCAGTTCAAACTGTGCAACATTCAATAGTGCATTTTGGGAAGAATGGCATCCCTTAAATCAATAGTGCTATGATGGTGAACTGCCTGCTATCCAGATTCACACATAAAGGCTTATCATACCATCAAGCTTGAGTTCCATTGAGTTTGAGGTTGGAAATGTTGCCATGGTGAGTGGTGACTGGTGGAAGGAATTGGAGACTTGGCAGTGCGATCAATAACAGGGAGATGCACAAAGGAACCTTTGAGACCAATAGACCATTGATATCCACGATGCTCTTGGTCAGGAGTTCTCCACTCGGTTGGACATCTTTACAATTGGGAAAGTTCTGATGCATCTGGGCTTCCTTCTGTAGGGCAAAGGTATCAAATTGTCAATCTTGCAGCTCAATCAGTGCCAAATGCATAACATGATTACGAGTATATGTTAGTGCTAGAAACTTTGCCCAGAGGGGAATCTACCCACCATTTTTTTTTGGCATGGGCATAGTTGGTATTACTTTGATCCGATTGATTCATGCTTGAAATTTTGTTTTTCAATAGCTAACTGCTACATTTAGTCTGCCAGATCAACTTGTGTCTAATTTTTGTGATAGATTAAACCTGTAAATTAAATACGGATAAACACTTTGCCTTTGAGCCTCTTAATTTCTCACTGGCACAAGTGAATCATCACATATCAACCATTAAAAGTGACAGTTTCCACCCCATCATAAAAAAAGTGGTCACATTTACTTTTCATTTGGCTTGTTGTATTTAAGTATATATATTTTAAAGAAAAAAGTAATATATATATATATATATAGAATTACTATGTTTTATGAAGAGAATAAAATTTAGAATTGAGATCTCTATAAATATACTTTTCGGAGAAGTTTTGTGGTGGAACCCACTTGTCATTTGTTTACCAGTCCCGTATTCAGACAATTATGCAAGTTTGATTTTCTTAAAATCAAGAATCTAATGATTTATTGCCAATAGCTAGTATAAATTCCATCTAATTTGGTAAAGGTCCTTTCAGACGCTTTTCGCTGTTTACCTTACTATGGCGTATTTTACTATTTTCAGCAATTTATATGAATGGACCATATGAAAATATGTTGTTTTGATCTTTAAATTTTAACGGATTATCAACTTTTCTGTTTCTCGTTATTGTACAAAGATAATATTATATTTTAAGTACAAAATTCATACTCTTAAAAGATGACAAGGCATAAAAACTCACAACATAAAACATAAAACCTCACAACACATAAATTCACAAGACACATAATATTTTGTATGTTACATAACTATTAATCTATTATAAGTATAGAATTAATAACTCTTAGGGGGCGTTTAGTTCACACTTAACCAAACAAGGTAATGTTATATTCTACAATTCAAACTAAACACATAAGGTAATTTTACATTCTCAAAATCTCACATTACCTTTTAGAGATAATCCTATTACCACTGATAATTCAAAATTCTGTGAACTAAATGCCCCCTAAGTACAAAAATTCATAACACAAGAGACATATACATGTTATATATTTATTTATTTTCAAATATGTTTTAAATTGATTTAGGTATAAAATTTATGTTTTATAGACATAAAATTTCACAACACAAAATATAAATTTATAACATAAAACACATAATATGTTACACAATTACTAATTTGTTGAATTTACATAATTGATATTTGATTCTCTGAAACAAAATTTTCATAACACAAAACATAAAAAGTTACAACAAACTCAAAGTGAATTGGAAACAACCAAACAGCATCATTAAAAGTAAATCTAGGGTCCAAAACCACTTCTATTTTTCTCTTCTCTCTTTTGAAATTTGTAAATACTTGCAGCCGCCTTTTTAATCAACTTTTTTCCCCCTTTTTATGAAAGATGCACATGTCAAATACTATAAAAATTACAGAGCATTTGAAAATCAAATGTTTTTTTTTAAAAAAATAAAAAATAAATTATTATTCCCATCTTATTATAATTGCTATATTCCACTTCAATCTCTTATTTATTTATTTATCATTTTTTCTACAAATTGGTTGAATTCTTTAACAATGCACGTACCTTTGAATGATCAAATTGCTTATCAAATTCCATTGAATGTTAACAAATATGGATATTATAACTGAGATTTTATTAATTATAACCAAACCCCATTACAACTAATACACATCCAAAACATCTTAACATGTCTCTATTAAGGAAAATAGTACATAAGATGAAACTATCTAAGCCTTCCTACTGGAAAGAAACAGCCCTACGGTCCTTCATATAGTCCCTTAATGTTAATCGAGGAGCCTCTGATCAAAGTGCCACACTCCTGCAGTTTACAAACAGGTAGAACATTAAGAAGCTTATATAAGTAAGAGACGAAACCAGTTGGGCAATGGATACAAGGATCATACCATGTCCCTTTCCAACCATTCTCAGTTGTGTAACATACTCTGCTATTTTCTTGATGGCTTCCACCTGCAACAACATTTGAAACAGATTAACCTCAAAGCATATGGTTATGAATTTGAATCTCCTTGAAGAAGTAGAACAGAGTTTTGTTTTCTGGGGTAAACCAACCAAGTTGTCGTTTTGTTAACTACAAAGTTACAAGTTCAAATTTCAACTGGAGCAACATATTAGCCATTCTTGGTGTGGATTTCCCTATTAACTTTGAAAAAAACAGTTTCGTTGTTTTACCTGCTCCTCCAGGAACTCTCTCTCAACAAAATCTTGCATTTCAACATCATTGTTCTTATTAGCTACCTGTGGATTCATCAAGAAGCATAAATATCAGAAACCCAACATCCTGAACAAAGGGACTATATGAAATTATAACATTGATTGTCACAAAATGACACATAGATTATGGTGTTAGAAGGCATAAGATCTCTCTTACAGCATGCAGGTTCAGGAGCTTCTCATTCACCAACTTCTCCAAGGAAAGCGCTAGCTCCATTGCTGCATCAAGAAATCACAGAATCAGAGCAGCCATGAATGGTGTTCATATGTATCAGAAGAAAAAAAATGGAAGTTGGAACTTACCATGCAACGCATCGCCTTTTTCGTTGTTGTCAAACTCAGAAGGAGGCATCAGAATAGAGTGCAGCTTCACCCTTCCTCCTCGGGTGTTCTGTTATTCATCAAAAGCACAATCTCATTTACATTATATATATAAAAAAAAAAATCATACACAAAAAGAACAAAGGAATTCTGAAGCCAAGTATGGAAATCTGGGAAACCTGATATTTCATCAGCTTCTCAGCGTGCTCCCTTTCTTCCTCACTTGATTCCTTGAAAAATCTGACAAAGAAGATCGCACATCGGATTGTAAATACTTGCATTAGGATAAACAGGAATTCTTAGGAAAAAACAAAAAAGATGACGGATTTAATACTTACTTAGCCATGCCCTTGAGCGCAACGTTATCTCTGTCGAAGTATGCATACATGGAGTGATACACATAAGATGCGCTGTATTCAACGCTGAAATCAAACAATTGAGAGTCAGTCCCTAATCAATGGAGATGGAGAGATTCATAATCAGGCAGAAATGAAACCAAAATTAAAGGAGATTAACAAAACAATTATCAAATAGGGAAAGAACGAACTTGATCTGCTCATTGATCGCAGCCTCGCACTCGTCGATGTACCTCTGGCGAGCAAGCGAGACCTGAGCACCGGAGGGGACCATAAGCTCATCCTTCTTAACCTCCACAAACGGCTGAAACACCACTCCGGTGAGCGGCGCATCAGCCGTCTCCGCCGCGGCGGAGATGGAGAATCCACCGCTCCGCTTCCTCGGAAACGCGAGGCCGGAAACAGAGGAAGCAGGGGCGATCGGAGAAGCAGAGGTCAAGCACGGAAGCAAAGCGCAGGAAGCCTTGCACAGGGAAACAGCTGAAAACGCCATATCTTCAAGACTCAAAGAGAAAACAGAACAACAGAAATCTATGCAGGAAGGGAAATGGTAGAGCGGTAGAGATTGCTGGGTGGCGAAAATGAAAGGAAATGGTGATGCATTATATAGTGGCAAAGACGAAGCAGGGGAGGAGACTAGGGTTTGCTAAGGCATATGAGATAGCGACACGTGTATGTCCACGCCTCAAAGGCGTGTGGCGACCTCGTGGCCTGATCCAAAAAGTTATTTGACACTCCACAGCCCATCTCTATCATGAACGAATCTTCGCTGTACCTGTAATCATTTCACGCTTTAGTGGGTGTACTGTTCCCTCTCCACCGATTCATCCCCCAATCATCATCCATTTCTTTTATTCTTCTTTCCTTCCCATTAATTTTGTCTTCTGCCTTTAAAATTATATTTTGAAAAAATTATAATCTAGGCATAATATATCAATTATTAATATTTCTTTTGAATTATTAGTTGTATAAATATTGTCCACTAATTTTTAAAAAAGTACATATATTATATATTTTGCACAAATTGAAAGACATCATTAAACAGTACTGTTTTAAAAATTTAAAAATAATATTTACACCACTAATAATTAAGAGTGATATTAATAATTAACATACTATAGAGAAATATAAATTACAGTTTCCTTTTATACTTTTTATTGTCATAAATAGCTGTTTAACTCATAAGTATTAAATTTAAATATATTATATTTTTCTTTTATAAATAATAAACAATTATTTTGAAATAAAGAATACAAATTTATTTAGTACGGAGTATTATATTTTGTAATAATACAATTTTATGATGACCTATGCGTATAAAAGAGAGCTCCATCAATCTCGATTGTTCATAAGAATTGAAACTATTAATTTAATAGGACAAAGGATAATCTCTTTATGTTGTATTTGAGTATAATATTTTTCTAATTTATGAAAGGTGAATGAATTTTATATGATAGAGCAAGGAGCTTGATTGAAGATTTGAATACCAGATTTTGAGTTTGGGAAGAACCGCTAAAATAATACTCAAATGTCATACTTCTTCAAGCTTTTGAATTTGGAGGTTCAAGTATAGTATATTTCGTGGTGCACGTCTGTCATATGTATATTTCATGTTCTAGTAACCGATCTCTGCAACTGCAAGTTGTAACTGCTGGATGCACGTCTCCTATATGGCAACATTCATGTATTCCATCTTCTACCAACCGCTTTGTGCAAGTTGCGAAGTAACTGCTACGGAGGCCGCGAATCCAATAGCTTCTTCAATTCTCCCATGGCGCGCGGCAACGTTCTGAAGTTTGGAGTGATGTATTCAAAAGCGGCAAAGTAAACTGAATAGAGATTTCAGCGTAATCAAACCACACTTCGCACAAATCATTCATCCCGGCCTTAACAGTGAAGAAGATCTGATACAGGTTATCTCTGATCTTTATATCGTTTTAGGAAAGTTTCATCTCGATTTCTTTTCGTGTGTGTTTGAGTTGAATTCGTTATCTGTAAATTTCAAGTTTGGTTAGGATCGCAAGGCCGACGAAGCCTCTGGCGGTAGGAGCCTGTTGAGATCCGATCCATGGGGTAAATCTTCAGCTAGCTAGCACATTATATTCTCTCTGAGTTTCGATCTAACCTTTAATTTCATTATGTTGTATTCTTAATTACTTTCCGTTGCCCGATTAAATGTTCTATGTTACTGGTATTTATTTTATTTTTATTTTCTACAATCAAACGAATGAGAATTACACAAGCAAAGAGATGCTAACTTTAGGATTTTGGTTTCAAGCATAAGCATGGGCTCCTTTCTATGAGAACTAACATTTCTTCTTCATTATTCGTCTACTCCTAAGCATTTTAGAGGGCTTATGCAAGTTGATTTCCATCCTCCTACTAGCATCTGAATATTTGTTCTTCCAGGTTGCAACAGGTTAGGACTGGGGATGAAGTTACTATTTTGCCTAACCCCCAGCTATAAGTTGCTTCTAGTATAGTTACATTGGTAAAGCCATGTGACTATAGAATAATAGAAACTCACATAAATGAAAACTATAGTAATTAAGTAACATAAGGTTACATTGGAAAATAGTTCAAGGAGGGTTTGAAATGAAGTCACAACAAAAGTATCACTTCTTGTTTCCAACGAAGGAGGACTATAGAAAGCATTCACCCAAGTGACACTAAAAAAAGATGCATCTTTTTCATGGAGCTGCTTTTGTCAGTAAAATGAAATAAAGGATGACATTATCATTGTATATATATATATATATATATATATATATATATAACAGAAAGGTGTCTTCCAAAATTTCAATTTAATAGATTGAGTTAATGTTCAGATCCTTGATAATCAACTTACCATGAAGTGTGCACATAAAATGGCTGCTATTTGTGGTACCTTTTCTAATGAATTTTTATAAAGGGATGACTCGCTGGCCGATTGATAATTGGACTGCATACGCAAGGATTTGATTTATACCATGGACCATACTTGCCATGACTGAGACTCGGTTTATCACTATAGAGGGTGGTGCAAGGTGGAGGGTCCCTATTTGATAAGAGGATAAAATGCACCTCATTTTCAATGCCTTTGGCATCCTTTTAGGTGTTGCTCCTTGAAGTTTGTATTTGTCACTTGTAAGAAGCCAGATGCCTTTCAATGCAAGGTGGATACCATACGTTTTTTTTATAATGGACAAATCCTTAAGATGTTCCCTATTTAAGCTGAACTAAAATCTCACCATCATTAACATCACCATGCAGAAAGACATTCCCTAAAGTTGAGGCTTGTGGATAACACAGCTTCTCCAACATGCATAAATAATTTTTTCTCTTTTTTCTTCAGTCTCTCAATCTTTTAGTTTTAGAGGAAATGAAACTAAAAAATTTTAAACATCAGTAAAATTAGTTGTAATTATCAGAGTTGGACTTGTCATTAATTGGTTGATTCTATACTTTGTAAGGTTCATAAGAGGCTTTGCATGTATGAATTCTGCAAGTGATTTTAGATGGAGTTGTCTTTTGAATTTCTTGTGGCTAGTTTTACCATTTCTCAATGGAATTATTTTTGCATATTTAACAGCTTTTATGATGTGAAAATATCTTGTGATGTGAGAATGAGTTTATTTATTTGTATTATTGGCTCAAGCATCTGAAGTCTAGGCCACTCTGCAATGTTCTGAAGTGCTCTCTTTAAAAGCATTTCATGGTTCGGCTGTCCCACTGAAGTGGTAGAAGTTATTCCCTTTGTCAGCGTTTATCTTTGTTCTGATTCTTCTCCATAAAGTTTGAAAGATATTATTTAGTGCTTGACATATAAGGTTTATCTCCAACCTCATTCTCTTTCCATGCATAACTTTTGACTCTATTCTCAAAAATTGACTCTTGTGAATGGCGACAAACCAATTATTCATGCAATCCTTTTAAACCCCAAGCGCCATTTCCACCAATTTACAACACCCTTCACCACCATGGTCTCCACCACTACCACCACCACAGACAACACTCAAGAATTCCACCAAGCTACAGAATTCCTTCCTGAAAACGTCTCCCTCTCATTGCCAACCCATGATGGACTAGAATTCTGGCAATTCATGGTTGCAGGTTCAATTGCTGGCTCTGTGGAGCACATGGCCATGTTTCCTGTAGACACCTTGAAGACCCGCATGCAGGCTGTTGGTTCTTTGGCATCCAAAGCTGCAGCTATATCTCTCAGGCAATCCCTTGGCTCAATCATGAAGGTAGAAGGACTGGCAGGACTGTATCGTGGGATTGCTGCAATGGGTCTTGGAGCTGGACCAGCTCATGCAGTATATTTCTCTGTTTATGAAGTATGCAAGAAGTCTTTATCTGGAGGAAATCCAAAGAACTCAACAGCACATGCACTTTCTGGTGTTTTTGCTACTGTTGCCAGTGATGCAGTGATAACCCCAATGGATGTAGTAAAGCAGAGGCTGCAGTTAAAGAGTAGTCCATATAAAGGTGTGATGGATTGTGTGAAGAAAGTGGCGATGGAAGAAGGGATTGGGGCTTTTTATGTGAGTTATCGCACTACGGTGGTGATGAATGCACCTTTCACAGCTGTTCATTTCGCAACATATGAAGCTGCCAAGAGGGGTGGGATGGAGGTGTTGCCAGAGATTGCAGGGGATGAGGAGACTCTGATAGTGCATGCCACTGCTGGTGCTGCAGCAGGGGCTCTGGCTGCGGCTGTTACTACTCCTCTTGATGTTGTCAAGACTCGGTTGCAGTGCCAGGTGAGAATTTTTTGTGATGATTTTGAGTTCATGCATGAACTAACTTCAGCTGATTCTTTTTTCAAGATTTTTTGATTGCCTCTCTTGGAGCAATGGTAGTTGTCGCCATGTAACCTGTCAAGTGAAGCTATTCTTCTTCTGATACAAAGGAAAGCAGCATAGAATAGACCAAAAAATGGCCAAAAGTATCTGCATATATTGGGAATATCATGCACCCGGCTTCCTTTTACTGGAGTTTCTGTTTGGCTCTTTCATTGTTGCCCTGCAATCTGCACATGCTACCTACTTGTAATCATTATTCTGCCTTGAACTGTGTCAGGGTGTATGCGGATGTGATCGATTTTCAAGTGGCTCAATTGGCGACGTGATTCAAACAATAGTGAAGAAGGATGGTTATGGAGGACTAATGAGGGGTTGGATTCCCAGAATCCTGTTCCATGCTCCTGCTGCTGCAATCTGCTGGTCTACATATGAAGCAGGAAAAGAGTTTTTCCAGCAACTCAATGATAAGAATAGTTCAGTAGATTGATGATTTCTCAGCATTTAGCTCAATACTCTGTTTTAAATAACACAGCACATACATGGACTAAACAAAGCCATTGTTGCTGATTGTAATGGTTTCTGGACACTTGTATATTGCTGTATAATTCAAGTGGATCGAGGTGTTGATAAATAATTTCCCTTTTCAGAGCAAAATTGTATATTGTGTCACAGGTTGTCAGTGTATAGAGAACAAAATTGTATTACAATTTGTTTTGTAAAGCTTGCTTGTGCGAACAGTAACGATTGGAAGGAGATGATGAGTCCTGCTGAGAAGGTGCTCTCTTTGTTCCGGAATGATTATATGAGAATTTCGAGAACAAGAACAGTCATGGTTAGACATAATTAGTATAGAGATAGTTAATTTTGGGATGTCCCATTCTTGTGATAAAAGAAAACGTAAAAAATCATGTTTTGAAAACAAAGTAGAATAGCACATACTTTTGTTTGGAGTTCTATTTCTTTATACACAGGGACTGTGTGGTTTTGTTACGACCCTAGATAGAATGGTAATGGATGAGAAATATTTTGAGTAGGTTTTTGGTTCATAATCGTATACAAGTCACAACAAATTTCAAATTCAGAGCACCAAGAAATAACTAAGAATAACATGAATGATGTGGTAAATACGCTGGTATATACAAATAGGTAGTTGAATTTTGGGTCAAATTGTATAGTAACATTGATAGGTTGCTTGTTGGTAACTCTTTGGAGAGTGATAAAAGGTCGGAGAGTCCGAAGCCTAATGATCTTTAAGTGAGAATCTCCCAAAAGTCCTCTCCTTCTAGCATTAAATGCGATATTTATAGGGGATAGGAAGGGACATATGTTGGGCTCTCGACATGCTTGACACGTGTTGTGCATGCAGTCAGTAAACTCGGTGGTCGTGCAGTCCACGTGCAATGATATTTCTGATTGGCACTAAATGGTGAGGTCGAGTTGAGATAAAAAATTAAGGCTTTGCTCTCTAAGTCGGGTTAATCGTCCCGACCTCGCAAGGTCGGAACCAATCTTAAGGTGGGGCAAAAGGTATGCACTGATTAGTCATTCGCTCGGCTTTCGTATCGAGGTCAGGTCAGTCAAGGTCGGGGAGTGTTCCTCGTGACCTACGGGTTGTATACCGAGTAGATATACTGTAGGTATGCTCAGGATATATTTTCCATTAATGAACATGAACAATATATGTCTCTATTTGGTGCTCCAATATTCATATACAATTGACATATTTATACTAAATTACTAACACCTATAATATTTAGCTACTAAAATTATACCAACTATACAGGGTAATGATTTATTTTATACATAATTTTTTTGAGTACTACTGACTCAGTTACAATGCAGTATCTATTCATAATTTTTTTCTATTCAAATATAATCAATTATTCTCTAATTACACATCTTAATTGATTATTTCTTTTCAGACTTTTCACTAATTAACCACCAATTATTTCCTGCCTTTTATGCGTATTAGTTTTAGACCAGCCCTGAAGGGTCTTTAGTGCAAGGTTAATAGTCATGGTTTTTTGCATGTTTTTTTTTTTCATGCCACATGAGAAAGAGAAAATGGAGGAAAAAACAAAGTTAGAAAAAAGAAAAAAAAAAAAAGGAAAATGGAAATTTACGTTACTATTTTCTTTTTCTCTCTCCGTGTGGCCCCACAAATATCAATTTAGTGCAAATGTAATTTCTTCTCTTTCATTTTCCCTCTCTCGGCTTCTCCTCTAAATTATCATCTCTGGCCTCCACAATTCAAAAATTCAAGAAAAAATTATTGACGGAGATGCCCTTAGGATGCATGTTTTGATTAATGATTGCAAGTGTATGATGACACAGAGGTGTTTCTTTTATTAGAGTGCCTTTCCCCCTATTGATTTAAATTAAATTATTCAATTATAACCTTATGCTTTTGGGACTATGATCTAAAGACACTTTTGTATTTAATTTAATTCATAATTTTGTTAATTTTCTTTTAATATAAAGATAACATAGTAAAATCTTAAAAATTAAATTACTAATATGCTAAATTTTTATAAACAAACAGTGGAATTTATTCTCTTTCAATAGATTTGCTTAAAAATGTTTAACAACGCACCAGTGGTCTAGTGGTAGAATAGTACCCTGCCACGGTACAGACCCGGGTTCGATTCCCGGCTGGTGCAAAATTTTTTACTTAGTTTCCCACCAAGTTGTTGAATTTAGTGATGAAATAATGTTTTTGGTTGCATCAAGGCGAAATTCATAAACAATCTCACGCCCTTTAAATTTAATTCAAAAAGGAAAAACAGAATGCAAAACACATTTTCATTTCGAGAAGTAAGAATTACATGCTGGAGGACTTGTTTGAATTTTTCTCAACCGATTGGACAAGAAGATTTTGCATAAAATTTTAAGATACTGGAAGAGGAAGGAAGGTGGCAGGGAATGAAAAAGTTTGGCATTACACTTCAACCCTGGCCTTACCAGGATCACAGTGAAAAAAGCTCTCCCAATTCCAATGTCCATTATCCTGTCAAATGGGAAAGACCAAAATTGAACAATGGGCTTGGGGTGGATACTGCGAGATGATTTGGGAAATTTCAAAGGAGCAGTAACTGGAATCTGATGCCATGGTAGTAGTACAAGGCTTAGTTTCAAAGTAATTCAAACTTGGGTATATCTTCACTTGATCTGATTCTGATATTGACGGACATTAAAGATATGATGAACATACATGTTTGCTCAGATCAACATTTCTTTTCTTAAACATTCTGTGATCCGGCTGCTTAGTACCTACTTGTTAGCCAGGGTCCAGGGAGTTTGTTTCTAGGTCTGAACGTAGGGAGCGGTTCTCTTATGCTCCCCTTTTCTTTGTAATGTTCTGGTTGATGATTTGAATTAAAGTTTTCAAAAAAAAGAAAAAAAGAAAAAAAAAAAAAAGAGTAAAGCATGTGTTTCGGGATTGAGGTGTGGGAAAATTCAGGCTGAACATGTGTATAGAGAGCAAAATTATATCACAAACTGTCTGTATATAAAGAGTAAAATTATGTCACAAGTTGTCTGTGTATAGGCTTAGAGAGCAAAAATGGCAATTTATATCCTACACCACGGTGCGCGTTGCACTATGCGCCCAGATGCAAAACGACGTCGTTTTAATTTTATTTTTTTTTTGAAATTTCCCGCCCCAGTGAATGGCAGTAGTTTTTTCTTTAAAAAAAAAAAACCCGCTGTTCAAGAATGTACATAATGTTATACTAGAATACACATAATGTTATACATGAATGTACATAATTATATAAAAAAATATACATACTCTTTTTAAAAGATAATACACATAATCTAACATAATACATAATAAACATAAACTTTTAACATAATACACATCAACTCTTAACATAATACACACAAATTTTCTAATTCGGATGTACATAATTGTATAAAAAGAATGTACATAATTGTATAAAAAATACACATAACTGTATGAACTAATACACATAACGTTGTGAACAAATACACATAACGTTGTGAACAAATACACATAATCTCAGCAACTTCCTACCGCGCCTCCCAACACTACCCCAAAACGACGTCGTTTTGGGAGGCGCGCGCCGCACAATGCTATGTACGCCATGGTGTAGGATATAACGATTGAGCAAAAATGTGTCACACTTTGTCTTATAAATCTTGTTTGTAGGAACATCAATGATTGTAAGGAGATGATAAGTCTTCCTAAGTGTTAGGATCGAAACGGGTTCACAACACCAAATTTACAATATCAATTTGAACTGGAAATATTGAGAATAAATTTCTAGTGTAAGATTTAAAATAAATCATACACAAAATAAGGCAAATTGATTAATTGAAAAAGAATTTTCTGTATTGGCAAAAGGATATTAGAATAGGAATTACAAATATAACTCTCTATTTTTACTCTCTGTATTTCGAATGGGATGATACAAATGAGCTAGATGGGATGAACCAAATGAATGAAGGACATTGCCTATTTATAGCAACCCATGTGCCTAGTGATTTGCAAAGCATTTAATGCCACATTAAATGCCTAGAGATTTGCAAGGCATGAAACTTCTCTTGCAACCTTTTCCCAAGTAAAACCTACTCTCATACCTCATCTCATATCTTTTCCCCAAGCAAAACCTCCTCTTATCGTTTGTCTTATTCAAACCTCCTCTCATAGCAAAACATCTATCCATTCCACATTCTGACTTTAGTATTTACACTAAGTTGTTGCTCTCTTTGTTGCGTGATGATTATATGGGAATTATGAGAATGAGAAGAGCCATAGTTATACATACTTAGCTTTGGGTTACCTCCATTCTTGTGATTAAAAAAAAAAGTGTTTTAAGAGCAAAGTAGAATGATACATACTTTGTTTGGTGTTCTACACTTCTACCTACCATGCACATGGGTTGTGGGTTTTGGACCAAACCCCGAAAGGCCTTCAAATGATTTTGATGGAGGATTGTTTGGGTGTTTGCTGATAGAGAAGGGTAGGTGTTTGGTTGATGATAGCTTGGTATTTGATGGCACAAAGGTATTCGTTTTAGAATGCCCTTCCCATTATTAATTAAAATAAATTATTCAATTATATCTTTATTCTTTTGGGGCTATGATCTAAAGACATTCTTGTATTTAATTTAATTCAGAAATTTGTTACGCTTTTTATATAAATATAAAGATAACATTATATAAGTAATAAATAAATTTTGTAAGATGTCTTCCGCAAAGCACCAGTGGTCTAGTGGTAGAATAGTACCCTGCCACGGTACAGACCCGGGTTCGATTCCCGGCTGGTGCATCAATTTTTCCAGTTCCCAGCATAATTCTTGAACTTAGTACTGAAATCATGTTTTTTTTTTTTTTTTTTTTTTTTTTTTTGTTGCATCAGGCGAAATTCATAAATAATCTCACACCCTTTAAACTTAATTCAAAAAGGAAAAATAGAATGCAAAACACATTTTCATTTTGAGAAGTAAGAATTACACAGTGAAATACCAACAGCTCCCAGAAGAGGCACAATGTATATCATAATGACTTCGATAACACTAGAACTTTTCTACTCTTATTCCATCTTTGTTATACTCATATGCATCTCTATTTCTGGTTTTCTTCATGCCAACTGAGAAATGGAGTTTTGAGTTATCACACGTAATTGAAGACACTTTGACCCAAATCATCACCTTTGTTTTAATCCCGTCAATGTCAGTTAGCTTTCCCTTGTCAAGACACCCAGTTACGGTAGTATTAAATCGCAAAACAGATGAATCCTTGTAGCCCACTTCACATATGGACGGTATATTGACAGTCAGCTTCCGTGTCTCTTCATCAAATTCATAGTTTGTGGTGTCACGAGGGAAAATACCTATTGGCAATTCATACTCCTTAAGCAGCTCTGGTAGTGGCTTTTGAATTGACCCTGCAAAAGCCAATCTTTTAGTCTCATTAATGTAATAGATACAAAAAAATCAGATCTTTCTTTACAATATACTTTAAAAAAGACTTTTATAGATTTCTGCCTTCAATAGAAGACACAGACAAAACAAATGATAGCAGAACTTGCAAGCACCCCAGATTGTTTAGGTGCATAGTGCGTGCACCATAACCCTTATAGATGACATTCGGATTGTTAAACAATAAACATCAATGTTTGGCTTGGTAAATCACAAGGTTTCAAGTTTGACTTCCAGAAGAAGCGGCCTATTGGCCTTCTTTCTCTTGTCATCCAAAAAAAACATCGATGTTTAATTGTTTAAATCATAATAAACTAATGTTTAGGTGGTTTGGTGTATTATTTTTTGAACAGTTACCACTTGATCATAACATAAATCCTAATTATTGATGGGATGCATGTAGCTCGTGTATGCAGGTATTTGTGAACAAATGAAACTCAAAAATCTCCAATAGTAGTAGAATGAATTACTGAAACGTATGAACACACCTTTAATTTTGTTAACCAACCATTTGGCTCCTCCTTCTATACTGTTTGACACATTCTAAGTAGTAAACAAGCAAAACAGTTAGCTATGAAATGCCAAAAGAAAGAACAGAACAAATTGAAGGGAAACATAATACGGAGTAGCAAACATGCAATCTCTCTTCAAATGACTCCAATCAACGTTAGTTTGTCTGAAAACAAAAATCAACTAAATTCACCTCTGTGAACTTTATAAGAAATTTTTTGTCACCAAGATATCATTATGATCGTGCTTCTTGTGGATTAGCACAGATTGGCAAGCTAGGAGTCTAAAAAAGATACACTGCTTTCAAGCAATTCTAAGCCATTTAGGCACAAGGCCTTCATGTTCCTAAGATGTGTCTGTGCATTGATTTTTTCTGTTTTAAAAAGCATTAACTTCTATATATCTACAAGCCATCCTTGCAAAATTTTTACAAGAGTGTCTGCATTACACTACATTTGGCAAGTCTTTAACAATTTTTCCCCAAAGCCTCAATGAGAAATGCTATAGCACGAACAACTTAATTGGTTCCTAGGTGGTATATTATGGGCAAGGACATAGGAGCGAGTCTTGATAGCCACATTATGGGAGTTACACCCAATGTTAGTCCTTTGACCTAATGGGCCATTGAGTCATTGATTTACCCCTCCATTACTTTGTCGAGCTGGTGTGTGGGGCCTGAGGGTGAGGGAATTGAGCCTGGGCAAGATATTGTATTAGCATTTGATGACAAAATGCAATTAAACCTAATACCCAGATAATTTTATGGCGTATGATTCTACTTTCAACCCAACAAACCAAGTTATTTCATCCCGGATCCCAAATAACCTTGATAAGCATATGATCAACATGAATGAACAATATGATTTCATAATCTTACACAGAACACCATAGTAATTAATGATTCATCGTCACCATTCACTGAAATCCCAGAATGAAATGCTCAAATGGATTAAACCGATCAGCAAAATCAAACATCACAGGAATGCAATTGCAAAACGCAAAATTTAAGAAACAAGGATAAGGATGTTACGTTGAGGTCATTGCCGACGGAATTGACCTCGCTGCTGGTTTTCTGGCCTACCCAGTAAGACCCCACCTTGCCCATTAACGAATCCATCCCTAATCAGTAATCCCTATACGTACGTATATCACAGTATTTTGTGCGTAAAGATGACAGTACGAATAAGAGGTTTGCATACGAATTGATTGAAGAGGCGATCGCTCTCTCTTTCTCCCACGAACGCAATTCGATTAGAGAGAGAGAGAGGAGAGAAATGTTGTCTCCGTTTGTTCTTGGCGAATTTTCAGCCGAAAACATGACTGTGTCGTTTTCCCTCCATTTTCTGTTGTTTTCTCAGTTCTTCTTCGTAATTTCAGCCCTTCTTTTGTCCTACGGACCAACTCCCTTTGTCCTAATGTAATATATTTGGAAAATATCAAATAAGTTGTCACTCCGTATAAAATAACAATTTATTTAAAAATTTAAAAATTTTCCAAAAGACAATGCATTTATTAATTAATTAATTATTGTTATTATTATTTGGAAAAGTCAAAGAAACGAAAACTTGGCATCAACGCTAACATGGACACTGAGAATATACTCCTACCTGCAAAATCCCTTTCATTGCCATGACACCCCACCAAGTAAACTCTGCACATGACCAAAATGTCCCCATCCGATCCTCACAACAAAGATAAGCCTCCCACCAAGCAAGCGGGGCAGATTGGTCAATTCAACCCCATTCAATGACTCGAACCTAAGCAACATCCATGACCGATCAATGACCATATCTCTTTCACCCAACAACCATGAAGAATATAATCGATCAAATTAAGCAGACAAAGAAAATTCAATCCCAACAACCTCCACAAATGCTAACCCTCTAACCTTAAATAACCTGCGCCGCTGTGGTCACGTACAAACGACGTGACAATAATATATATACAACAACAAAAGCACAAGTTACGTTACGTACGTTGTATGGCTAAAGCTGCTCAGCAGTTACTAGCAGCTCCATCGGCCGCGGTTCCTGGAATCCCTGCAGGATCGTTGTTTTGGGACATCAGGTGCAGCTTCCACTCCCTCACGGCCGTCCTCATCGTCGGCCTTGTCATCGGAGTCGTTTTCTTGGCCGGGGAGACCCAAAACTTCTTGTCCGTGTTAAACCTGCAACAAAATACCGGTGCTATTAACCACTCGTCTTCGTCTACTAAGTGCGATTTGTTTTCAGGAAAATGGGTTTACGACAACAAGTCTTACCCTTTGTACAAGGAGCAAGAATGCACCTTCATGTCTGATCAGCTGGCTTGCCAGAAATTTGGCAGAAAGGACTTGGATTACCAGCATTGGAGGTGGCAACCCGATCATTGCGATCTCCCAAGGTTTTCAAATCAAATTCAATATATCTTTTCACTTCTTCTTCTTCTTCTTCTTTATGATCTTGCTTGGGTGGATAGGAAGATGTTTTTGATGTTGATAAATTAAGGTAGGTTCAACGCCACAGAAGTGCTGGAGAGACTGAGGAACAAAAGGCTTGTTTATGTTGGGGATTCACTGAATAGAGGGCAATGGGTTTCCATGGTTTGCCTTCTTGATTCTGCCATCCCACCATCTCTCAAATCCATGCACTACAAATACAATTCTTCCTTGACCATTTTCAAGGCTAGGGTCAGTACTCAATTGCCCTAATTCTCTTTAATTTGCTTTTTCATCAAGTGAAGAATACAAGATTTACGTGGTTGGACAATGTGTTTAAATTGCATAGTAAAAAAGGAAAAAAGCTGTTCTTTTATTAATTGTGAAAATAAAACATGAGTTACCAGCAATAATATGCACATACATCTCAGTTTTCAATGAATATGATATTTTATTTTTCTCTTAAATTTGATTGTGAACTGAAAATGATGAAGGAATACAATGCAAGCGTTGAGTTCTACTGGGCACCGTTGCTGGTGGAGTCGAATTCCGACGACCCAACGCACCACCGGCTGCCGGAGCGCATAGTGAGGGCCAACGCAATCGAGAAGCACGGCAGCCGGTGGACCGACGCCGATTTTCTCGTCTTCAACACCTACCTCTGGTGGACACGCCCCGGCATCAAAGTCTTGTAAGAAAACCAACCATGAAAATTTAACATAAATTGCCACGAAAAGTATAAACACAGTACGCCAAGATGGATCAACGTAACCTAGGAAATGAAAACACAAATTAAATTGTTTTGGATATTGTTCAGATGGGGCTCGTTTGAAAGGAGCGGTGATGGAATCTACAAAGTCATAGAAATGCAGCGGAGCTATGAGATGGCTTTAAAGACCTGGTCTGACTGGCTGGAAATCCATGTCAATCGCTCCAAAACCCAATTATTTTTCATTACCATGTCCCCTGTCCACGAAAGGTACATTATACACCATCTATATTGATTTACCTGGTAGTCTTTTGTTAACTAAGATCACGAGGGTCAGGACATCCCGAATAGTGGCTAGCCACGGCTGGAAATTTGACCATTTAAAAATGATCTTAAATCAAGTCGAAAGTCTTGTTTCGACCACTTTGGTATTCGGAAAAACCTTTGTTGCTATTTCCAGTCACTTTTTGCTTTCGACTTAATATAAGATCACTTTCAGGTGGTCAAAAATTTCATAATTTCTAATGGTGAGCTACGGGTATCCTTCATTACCCAGAAAGTAAGGGTAACTACCGCCCAAGTTAGTCAGACTATTGACTTGGTGACTACAAGTTATAAGTTCGACTCCCACCCGGTGACAACTAACTTTGTTGGTTTACAAGTTATATATTCTTAACAACATGCATAACATGTTGAACGTTTTATTTAGGGCGGAATTGTGGGGAAAAGAAGAAGGCGAGAATTGCTATGGAGAAACGGAGCTAGTGGAGGAAGAGTACTTGCAGCGCCAGGTAAACGTAACAGATACGAAGATGATGGAGACAGTGCAATCCACCATTAATGGGCTGAAAGGGAGAGGCTTACAAGTGCAGCTGATGAACATAACACAGCTCACACGATATAGGAGGGAAGGCCACCCATCAATCTACAGAAAACAATGGGAGCCTTTAACTCAGGACCAAATTGCAAACCCAAGTACCTATGCAGATTGCATACATTGGTGCCTTCCTGGAGTTTCTGATGTTTGGAATGAACTCCTCTATGCTCACATTTTCAACTATGTGTAACATATCTACTATTTTTGGCATTGTATGTAATTGACCATTTTTTGTCCTTCCAACTATAACTCACTTCTTTCCATGATTAATTTTGTCACATCTAAGATAGAGTACATGACCACTCACACCAACCAAGCTGTTTATCCAATGAAATATTTAGTATTAAGCTAGGCGAATACTAATCACATATAGTTACTACTCTTTCATGTAATACTAAAATTATATATTAACCCACACTAGACACTTTTAAAATGGACATTAAATCCCTGTTTTTTTTCAGTGATCGATCACAAAACTTGAGTACTTAAAATCATGCTAAGAGTACTGTTGCTTCCTAATGGTGGGAGTTGTGTAATTCATGTGGTTAAAAGGTGGTAATGAAAACTATATTTTAAGAGCAAGATGGACATCACAGTACTGAACATGGGAGGACATGGCTGTTGGAGTAGTTATAGTTTTAAGGTGATGAAGAGCTTCCATCCCCAGAGAGTGTGATGAAGTGTCTCCTCCTTCACATTTACAGTAATCTTCATCATCTTCACAAGTTTCTTGCTGGACGACAGACACTCTCTGCACTCAAAGGTTCACAACACAAAACCTTAAACATACAGGAACAATTTTCCATGGCAGACAAAACAATATAATATAATCACAAACTAACCTTATATATTGTTCCATCCTCCTCAACCTGCCAGCCGGCTTCCCGGCAAACAGCAATGAGCAGATCGTTGGAGTCTGCATGCTTGGGGAGGTGGTAGTTGCCGTGAGCCCGGAGGCCGGCGAAGATCTTCTTGGCCACGGCGCGGCGCTTCCGCTCCCTCTGCTTGTTGTTCTGCCGCTCCCTCTCCGACGGGTACCGGTACTTGGTGATCACGCCGCCGTTCTTGGTGGTTCTGTGAACCGTCCACGGCCCCCGTGTTGTCTTAATGCAACCTCTCAGAGCCTTGCTACTGCCACTCTCCCCAACCATATTAATTTCTTTCTTTCTTTCTTTCTGCTTAGCTTTAGCTTGTAGTGTTCTTGTATGTTCTGATCTGAATTGTTTGATGGTATAACAAATAAATATAACAGAGAAACAGCATAGAGACAAAGTTGCAAAAAGTGGGAATAATGGTACTATGCAACCCAGAAAATATTCTTCCAGCTTTTACATTATTTGGCATGCAATTAATATATATATATATATATATATATATATATATATATATATATATATATATATATATATATATATATATATATATATATATATATATATATATATATATATATATATATATATATGGAAGGGATCAGGTACGGGGAGGGGCTTTCCGTAGGGTTGGACGGTTGGACGCACATTAAACATTAACTGACGCATTTTACACAACACACGCACATTAAAGCACACAAACAAAACACCTCCAGAACACAAACTCACGCACGTTAAGCACAAAACTCACGCATATTAAGCACAAGCCTCACGCAGGTTAAGCACAAGTCTCACGCACCTTAAGGCACCTTTTAAGTTTCAACAATTACTCACATTAAGCACAAAACTCACGCATATTAAGCACAAAACTCACGCACTTAAGCACAAAACTCACTCACTTAAGTTTTCAACAACTGACATTAAGTACAAACACGCGCACATTAAACACAACCTTCACGCACATTAAGCACAAAACTCACGCACTTGAAGTACAAAACTGACGCACGTTAAAACCGCACAACCCCACGAAAAACACTTAAATCACTGGAACTTAATTTTATATATATATATATATATATATATATATATATATATATATATATATATATATATATATATATATATATATATTAAACGTTTACAGTCAAACAATGTTGTTCTTAAGCATGCAATCTGCAGTAAAAAAGAGATAAATGTAAGGTGAACGGTGGATGATCGATCCAGCACAGCTGTATAGTAAAAAATTACTTGAAGGGGCATGGTCAGACATCTAGAAGGGAATGCATGATAGAACAACGTACCAGTGCCGTTTTTGGCTACGAAACAACAGAAAAGTGTGGAAAATGTACTGGGGGAGATATGCCATGCAGACGGAAGAGATTTCATCTCTTGGGTAGAAAAAAAATATATTCTTTACCCTTCTGATCACAAACCAAGTCTGGTTCTTGGGCAGGATATTGGTTGCTTTGTGTTTTTCTATCCTAAATGGAACATAATAATATTTTTATATAGAACATTTTAAATGTACAATGATCAATATTCATTTTATTATTTTTTTTTACTCTCGCATAGCAAGTGATCAATTAACCCAAAATAAGTTCATAATCTTTGTTTTGCTGGTCGGCAGACCCAAGATGTAGGTTTCCCGTTTCCAATGCACTTGGAGGCCTGTAGGCTAGTTGAGACATATTCTACCATTTATTTTCTCCACCCATCTCCAACAATCGTTATACCCTGCACCACGGCGCACATAGCACTGTGCGTCCCGCGCCTCTTAAAACGACATCGTTTAAGTAAGTTATGTAGGGAGTTGACGTGATTATGTGTATTTGTTTATACAATTATGTGTATTTGTTTATTCAATTATGTACATTTTTTATACAATTATGTACATCCGAAACAGGAAATTTATGTGTATTATGTTAAGAGTTTATGTGTATTATGTTAAAAGTTTGTGTATTGTGTACTATGTTAGTTTATGTGTATTTTGTTATATAATTATGTACATTCATGTATACAATTATGTGCATTTTTGAACATGAGTTTTTTTTTTTAAAGAAAATTAACCGCTAACACAGGGTAGCGAAATTTTGTTTTTAAAAAAAAATCTGAAACGACGTCGTTTTGCATCAGGGAGCACAATGTAAATGCGTGCCGCCCTGGTGCACGATATAAATTGCCCATCTCCAAGGTAGGAGCTTTAATTTGAGAGCTCTTAAGTTTGAAGTTCGATGACACTTTGTGGTCCAAAACACCAAGTTGTTTTTTCATATGGGAAGTTGTAGCACTACTGGAAATTATTGAATTTCTGACCATCTGAAAGTGATCTTAAATCAAGTTGAAAGCAAAAAGTGGTCGGAAATAGCAACAAGGGTTTTTTCGGATACCAAAAGTGGTCGGAACAAAGCTTTCAACTTGATTTATAATCACTTTCAGGTGGTCGGAAATTTCAGAATTTTCAGTAGTGTGGGTTCGAGCCTCGAGGAGATCAAGAACATAAAATGAAAAATAAAGAAGCATCAATGTCATTCTAATAGAGTAAAAAAAAGAAAAAAAAAGTTTGAAGTTCAAACTTGTTTAGAAAAAACATATGAAGATAAAACGAAAAATAAAGAAGCATTTTCGTGGTTCGGCTAATTAAGAACCTATATCCACAAGAGGGATGAAATTCTTTTATTAATTGTAATGATAAAACATCCAAGGTTATTATAGACACTTAAATTTTGATAAATATTGATTATTTATCAATATAACTACATTTTAATATATTTATAAATAATACTGATATTATCTAATTTGTTAATTAGATAATATCAAAAGAGTTTAAGCTTATCAAACTCTCTATCCTTCAACTATAAATAGAGTCTTTCATTTATATGTAATCACCCATCCTAGGAAAAATCATAGAAAGAACTCTGAAGCTTATTCAGAGATCACAATAAAAATGTGATCCTGAAAGTAAAAGCCCCCCCTCCATTCCAATCATGCCTGTTGATCCAAACCTTATTGAATATCAAGCCATTTGAACCCGGGGGCCTTTCATTGAAGAACAAACTATATATATATATATATATATATATATATATATATATAGAAAAACGCTCATATGTGGTCATGTCATTAGGTGTGGTCGTGTGGTCGTATCTGTGTCGTTGAATCAGTTTAATCTAAAGGTTGTGGTAATTCTGAAGATTTTCGCGCGTTTTAGTAAGTGGGGGTGTTATGGTAATTACAGTGACCATTTATAGCGGGCGGGTTCCAGAATACACCAACAGTGTTGACAACATACACCAATAGTGTAATAAAACACACCACAGTGAAACACACCAATGGTGTATTCCCGTGTTATGGTAATTACAGTGGCCATTTATAGCGGTCTAGTTCCAGAATACACCAACAGTGTTGACAACATGCACCAATAGTGTAATAAAACACACAACAATGTGATTTTCCTTATTCCGGTGTTTTATGACAAGTTTACCCTTACAGTTCGCTGGGTAGAAGAATGTGCGCGAAAATACTGAAAAAATCTTGATTAATATGATTCATTAGATCTATCTAATCTAATGGTCTATAATTGACCATATGGCCACACCTAACAACATGGCCACATGTGATCACTCCTCTATATATATATATATATATATATATATATATATATATATATATATATATATATATATATATATATATATATATATATATATATATATATATATATATATAAGCCATTCTTTGAAGATTAAGCCATCATGCCTGTTGATCCAAACCTTCATTGAAGATCAAGCCATTTGAACCCGGGGACCCTTCATTGAAGAACAAGCTATATATACAAGCCCTTCTTTGAAGATTAAGCCACTTGAAACCCGGAGGCCGGCCCTTCAATGGTGGAGTGCTCAAGACATCAATTGAAGAATCAGAGTATCATTCAGATACTTGTACCTACACCGCATTGATATATACTACTGTAGCAGAAATTTTGAATTTCTAAATATAATTCAATTTTCTTTGTTTACAGTTACAAATATTATATCTATAAACAATTCTAATATGGAGTAGTATATTTACACAACTATCCATATACTATACTAGGTTATGCTAAAAGAAGGCACATTATAAGTTAATTACTCAGATCCTTATTATGAATAGAAAAGAATTGTGGCATTTTTCTAGCATATGTTGTAGAAATTTTCTAATAATATAATATGTTAGGGTGACAATCATATGCTAAATCATTACAGTGCCGTATAAATGATACGGAATATAAGTTTTGTAATTTGACCAAATTGTTTTATTGAGCATATAATATATAATATAAATGTATAATTAAACTATCATCAGTTTATAGTCAATAATCTTATACTCTAATTGCATAGAATGACTTTTTTAAA